CTTGTCAGATTTTTTGAATGTATAAAAAAATTTCTTTGCACTTAGCCCCCCCCCCCCTTTCAATTTGCTTCCGACGCCAATGCGTTTGAGAAGGTATTTGAGAAAGTTCCCGATGTACCCATTCCTGTGATGTATATTTCACGTTTATTATATCTCCCGCTTGAAAAGTGGGAGGATATTTAGTAATAGTTATGTCCGTCCGTCGGTCTGTTACGCTTTGGAGTACCCATCTCTTATCCGCAAATCCTCTTATACCACTTAGTGAAATTAAATAAAACTTTCACAGAATCTTATAGGTTTATTACATATTACCATTGTGCACCTCCTATTTTACTTTTTGATCCGACACGTATTTTGGGTTTAGCGACAACAGCAAAATATGGACTTTGCCATTATAACCATATGGGAGGCGGGGGTATCATTTAGTGAGCTCATTGCTTACAATACCTCTAGTTGTCCCCCGCTTGAAAAGTGGGGGATATTAATTTGGGTTTGTCCGTCCGTCCGTCCGTCCGTCCGTCTGTCCGTCCGTCCGTCCGTCTTTCTGTCTGTCTGTAACGCTTTCGTTTCCACACGATATCTCGAGAACCCTTTGAGCTTTTGCAATGAAATTTAGAATAGCAACTCCCTATGGATTAAAGAAGACCCCTATTGATTTTGAGGTAAAGGTCAAAGGTCAAGGTCATAAATAAGCAAATTCTGTCATATTTATAAATTCATGTTAAAACACTTTCGTTTCCACACGATATCTCTAGAACCATTAGAGCTATTGCAATGAAATTTTACATAGCAACTCCCTGTGGCCTAAAGAAGACCCCTATTGATTTTGAGGTCAAAAGGTCAAAGTTCAAGGTCGTAAATTTATACATTCTGTCTGTGTGTAACACTATCATTTCCGGGCGATATTTCAAGAAGATTTGGAGCTTATGCAATGTAATTTTATACCAAAACTCCCTAGGACGTCTCTCGCCCCTCTCAAAGTGCCCCGCCCCGTTTGTTTTATTAGTGTTTATAGTATTACTTGTCGCTATTTTTAGCGCAGGGGCATGAGGAGAGTTATTGCGTATAAAACAGGTTCTCGGCGGACTTTATGTTCTTATTACATCTATTAGAACTGTTTAATAAAGGCTAAATAAATCAAACACCATGGATTGTGTAAAATTTTGAGAATACCGAACATGAAAACATGAATATATACATGTATGTGACTTTAGTTCTGCATATACTTTCCACCTAGAAAAGCGACACCGTGGTGTAATGGTTATGTCTCTCGCTTCAAATGTGAAAGGTCCCGGGATCGATAATCGGTCGATCCTTTCTTTTTTTTTTTAATACCTTTTTTTTTTTTACTAAATGATAGTATTCAGCATGTGAAATGAAAAATTTATGAGATTATAAAATCATCATTACAGTGTGATAAATATTCCATATACAAAAATCTTCTATACACATAATAAAGAATAAGCAATCAAATCTTTATATGCATATTGACATACATGTATTTTATTTCCTTCAGTATACATGTATACATTTAATAATTCTACAAATTCAGTCAGGGGGAGCCGACTTTTTCCCTAAGCGGGGGACACGAATTCTCTGAATTAGCTTGTTTCTCTTTCAATTTGGCCGTTTGGGTTATCTTTTCGTCCAAATTAAAATTATTATTCAATTTATGAAGTGTCGACATCCCGCCTGAAAAAAAAACCCCTTGATCTGTCCTAAGACTTAATAAATGGACAGCACAAAGTGCGTAGGATCTTATACCTATTATTGCCCTAAGAGATGGTTACAGAGTGAGAGAGAGAGAGAGAGAGAGGGAGAGAGAGAGAGAAAGAGAGAGAGTTAGTTCAATATACAAAAGAGTAAATAAAAATCATCCGTATTCAACCAGTGTCAAGTATACCTACCCTAGCTTTTAGAATTATCTCCCAAATACTCCTACAGAAATTATTTCTATATATGAAAAAAATAGCTAGACTATCACGCAGAGATACTGAAATCTTGGAGAGAAGTCTCTCTATAACACCATAATTATAAAACATTTATACATACCTCAAAATCATAATGCACGTCTAATCATACTTTGTGGTCGGAGTGACACATTTTAAAAAAAAAATTAAAATTGAATTCGGCAGAGATGTCTGTCTTCCAAGAATATTTAGATAACGGTCATGTCAATTTTTTTTGCACGCCCCCCCCCCCCCCGCCTAAAAAATCAAATGCCTAAATGTCAATCTGAATAGGGGATGGCATTTCTTCGTGTATTTGTGTGTTAAAGAACGTATAGATTTATGTACACATAAAAAATTGTATTCTGGTTAACTGCTTTTAAGATTTGAAGTAAATAATTACCGTACATCAAATTACTTGGTTTAGATTTGAGATTAGTACTACAATAATCAGTTATAATTGACAAATGAATTTTGCGACGCAAACCAACTGCAGACTATATACATGACTTTGTATAGAATGTATATTAGAACTACATGTAGATAGACAATTCACAATTATAGCCTCTGAACAGCAGTTATAATACCCCCCCCCCCCTCAGCCGCGCAAATACCAAATAACTTCTCTTTCCACTTGTGATATTCTCCCTGACCAAAATCTGATCAGCACGGACTAGGTGTATCGACGTGCTTGTCTGTACGGAGTAATGACAGTGTGTTTACTATTGAGCTTCTACGGAGTTTATTTCTTTTTTGTGATGCATATTTCAATAAATGAAATTCAGGGTGTATATCACTTGACTTGTGCACATCTTCGAACTGATGCAGTAACCTTATTACCAGGTATGGGTACGTTTACAGCGTTCGAGGCGTTTTCTCGATATGCATCAATTGCATAGGGGCTGAAAATCAAAGACGTTGATTGTTTTGTGCCATTCAAATGATAATAATTTCAAAATGTGTTTGCAGATTTTACTGCTTTTTATTTCAAGTTTATTCTGCATAAATTGGCGCACTGTAAAAATACGTACTCGTGCATCTAAATTTCTCACCAAACTTGCATTTTTTTTCTTTTGATTCAAATCAATAATTATTCAGAAATATGATTATTATTTTGTTTATTGTGGTTTTGAAATGTCTTGATCTCCTTATGTGTTCTCATATGCTTTACCATCGGAGATGTGCACAAGTCGATACCCAAACCAAAAAATCATTCAACTGTAACGAGCGCATTGGGGTATACATCGTTACAATGAGACAAGGTATCTGAAAGAAATATGGCGGAATACGGCTATCGTTGGTATAAAACAAGTCGTACATAGATGAAAATGTTGCGTTTTTAAGAATTCATGTCAGCTTTAACTTAAAAATAAAGCAATTGACAGCCACTAAGCCCAAAATTATTTTTATACTCTACTTTATCCTATTTTGTAGTAATTACGACAGTAAATACGACATTTTTGACAGAAGTCCTGAGGTTATCGAAGATGATGTCAGGCGGAACTGGTTAGATAGAACCCATGGCTGTCTGCGTCTTCTTTTCCTACTGTCCTTGTTTGTTTTCATCTTATTCACGGCTTTCGTATCTAGATTTAGCTTTCATATACGTTTGATAATTCTCAATTCTCCAACCATTTTTACAACCTTGAACAAATTCGTGGGTGACACAACCAACACCAAGTCTTCTTTTGTACCAGCGGATGTTCATATATCATGGGTCTGGGCATGTTTCCTGATTTTGATAGCGCCATCTTTACATTCGTTTGGTTATCATTTTTTGCAAGTTTGCAAAAGATCTGACGTGATGGAAAATAAGATAGAACGTGATGACAAAAATAACAAATCGAACATTTTCCCTGGTTTTCATAAAAGAGGAAAAGATGGAAATGTTGAAGAATGCTGTGAAAAACTTAAGGAACTTGATTTTGTAAGTATGCATTGAGATCAAAGAACTTTATTCGGTAATAACCAATATTTGCCCCCCAAATCAAACTTTAATGGAGATATATTTAATTAAGTTCTTAAACAGGGGAGTATATGCTGACTTCAAATCACTGAATATTTTCATAAGTAATGACGCCATATGTACGTAATGACGTCACAAACATGACGGAAATTTCAGTTTTTTATGAATTTTACAGAAAAATGTACATATTTCGTCGATATTTTGAGTAAAAGTCACCGAGCGCATGTGTGTTCAGGATCAATATTTTGATATAAAGTGTAGAATGATAATATCAATGAAATATGTCAATATTGTTCCTGAACAAACTTGCGCTCTATAAATTTTAAAGCTAAAATTGTTGAAATTTTGTCCATTTTGTCCTCTTTCTGAAAAAGGATATAAAATCGGACTAGTTTGTGACGTCATAAAAACAAAAATTGTGAATACACTGCTTGGACACTATAATATTTTCAGTTAATTTGTATTTCGCATACAATTTATTGAATTCAGCACATTTCAGGAAGTTTTCAAAATTTGACTTTTGTGGGGGCAGATATATGCAATATACCGCATATAGTTCTTTGTGATATGTTCATGCGTTTCATTCAAAGTTGAAATAAAGAATTCGCTTGTAAATAATTTTTTAATTGAATTTTATGCTACATTTTCTTTTACAGCGCATCCAAGTAGCTTTATTAATAGGAATTGGAACACTTCAAGCTATTGGAGAAAGCCTAACTGTTTTTCTCTTGCTTCCGACATTTGACCAGGCGTCCGCAGGAATAGTTGCTACTAACATGACTTTGTTCGTGCCCTCTATATTAAACGGATGCGTGAATCCTTACTTTCGTTGTCAAAAACATCTTCAAGATACATGTAGGCCTAAGTGTTTGATTATATTTAGATTGTTCATGGGTTTAACTACCCTTTATTCTTTTGTTTTTCTTATTGCATATGTTTCTTTGCTAGAGGAAAAAAACAATGTCAATTCTCCAGTGGGGCTAATTACTCTTACAATTATAATTTTCTTTATTTCGTCAATTGGATCATGGGAGAATGTACTAGGATTCAATTGTAAAAGACTTCGGGATAGAAAAAAAATAATGATGTGGTTATCTGTGTGTAAAGTTGTTACTTATTTTATCACCTTTTTGGTAGCTTTTCATGTCATGGGTGAACATGAGAGCATCGAAGTTTTATTTGGGAAAAGAATCAATTCTACAGTAACTTTATTAGATAAAAACATTCACCTCATCAATACCGTTAATTTCCGAGAACACTGTTCTACAGAGCACCCGTTTTACTTAGCTCTTGTTAGTTTGTTTGCATCGTACTTCTGTTTCAAGGCTAGCTATCAAGCTTGTAGAACATACCTCCAGTGGCCAAGCTTTTCTATTCCGCTTATAATAAATTTGGTTTTAGTACCTATACTCGTTGGACTTTACGTGAAACCTAGCATAATAGCTAATGACTGGGATTTCTATACCGACGGTTATACCACCGGTCAATGGATGATTGGGATGTGTGGTGCCTTCACCTTCTTAAGTATTCTTATGCTGACGACCTACGTTTGGCGAAACGGGATGAGGATTAAAAAATTAGAAAAGTAATGTAATTTTTCTTTCCACAAACTGAAAATATACAAGTACATTATCATTGCTTGGTTAATTTTTTATTTAATCTTTGCTCTCCTGTTCCTTTCATGTTTTAATATAATATTAATAATATTTTAAATTATTTATTTGAAGTACATGGAATTAAAACTTTGCCTCAATCTTATTTTTACAGAATATTTGCTATGCCTTTTTACGCTGGTTATGCAGTTGATGTAACATTACTCTGGTCAAGAAGACGGCTGAGGAAAACTAGGCATGCTCATGTACGATTTTGTTATCTAACTTGAAAAAAAGATTCTTTAATCAGAATTCTTACTTGTATATACCAGTATTGTAAAATCAAATATATTCATGGGTGCAAATTTTCGAGGTTTGGGAAAAATATTGATACATGTATATCGGTATTTGATTTGATTTGGTTAGGGAAGTATAAAGTAATAATGCATAGTATTAAATTAAATTTTACATTTTGTAGTGGTCATAAATCCGTGGCTCTCTACATACCTCGAAAGCAACGAAAATTAACCCCCATCGAAAATATGTGCTTCACAGTATTGCATTTCCATTTGTTGTAAAATATAAATTATATTTGTTATAAATTGAAATTATTGTCTGAGTCATTTATGATATGTTTAAATGACGAAAACATTTTTTCCACTTCTGTATAAGTGTTTTGTGCAATTGAAAAAATAATTGTTTTTTTTTATTTATACCTTCTGAATATTTTCCCGTTACCACTACCGCTAATCAATCAGTAAACAGCAGTAAGCATTACAACTGTGCAGATTTCTTGATCAGTTGCTCTTCCATCAATGAATGTTAACACACAATAACATACATATCAGAAATAAAATATTTAATCGGCTGAATCCTACTTTAGATGTTTATTCCAATCTGCACTAATATAAAAATAAGTCACTTTTTATTCATTAGTATGGAAATAATTTTTTGCAGCTTTCGCTGAAAAAAATACTTTACCCACTTACTCGCAACAGCTGCAGCATTTGTTCCCCAACTTACAACCTAAAAACATTTTGTTGTCTAAATATCAATTTTAAAAAATATAATAATTCAGCGTAAAGATCTTTTTTTTTTTGAACGATCGTTTGACCTTTGGGTAAAATACATGAATTTGTTTAATGGTAGAATTTCAAACTTTAACCCACATATATTTGTTTCATGGTAAGTAAGACTGTATAAGTATGGGTGCCATTTATATGAACCGCCTATTTACCTCATACATTGTTCCTAATTTACTAAGTAATCAGATATTTTGTATGGCCGTTCCTCTTTTATGTGTCAATTTTGTCGTAATAACCAATTCGTGAATTTGTTGTTTACGACTGAAGGTAAACTGGTTGTTGTGCACAAGTATTATAAGCGATTGTAAATGTTGTTTTGTGGTATGGTAATAATTTTTGTTTCCTTTTGTTTCCTAGCTAAAGACGCTTTCTGATGCTGAAAATTTTTTTACTATGCTTTTGTAGACGGATTGCAATAAAGCAGAAGCAATGCCTTCTCCATTTATTTACCTCTGTGCAACAATGTGGCATGAAACAGAGCTTGAAATGAAAACACTTTTGAGATCTATTTTCAGGTAACAGTTCTTATAGAAGCAAGCCATTTTAACTGTTTTGGTAAGAGTCCGGAAGAGGTTGTGCATAAGCTAGGATTCTGTTTGTATGTTTGACCTTCCATTTATAAACAATAGCCTTTCAAAATGCTTCTGCTTCTACAGTCAGTTAAAGTCAGTTGGCACACAGCTGTATTTTACATTAATAAACACAATACTAGTATTATTAAATCTCATTATTAGCTCACGTCAACGAGTTCGAGATGAGCTTATGCTATACTTCGACGTGACGTTAGCGTGTGCATAAGCATCGGCATACCAGGTTTAAGCAACTTTATGGCCTACCTGAACTTAAATGGATGAAGCATCTTGGGATGGACACTACCAAGCTTGCTTCAGATACGGGATCTCACCTTCATTTCCAGATGATTGATAAGGTTAAAGTTTTTGGAGCAGGTCCATTTCCAAGTAGCTATAAGTACTACATCGACCATACATGCATGTATGATGCATATAGGGCCCAGACTTGATTCGGGTGAACCTGAAGTACATGCACATTTTCTTGATGAGTGACCAGTTTAAAGTTTTTGGAGCAGGTCCATTACCAAGTACCTATGAGACCTACCTGGACTAAACTTGCATGGCTGATGCATCTATTGATGGACGGTACTTGAATTGCTCTTGATGCAGGATCTAATTACCTACATTTTCGTGATGAGTGACCAGGTTAAAGTTTTTGGAGCAGGTCTATTCACAGTAACTACATGTATAAGCCCTTCCTAAACCAAACTTACATGGATTAAGCATCTAATGGTGGACTTGCTTCGGATGCTGTATCTGACATGCAGTTTCCCGATCAGTGACGAGGTTAAAGTTTTTTGGAGTAGGTATATTCCCAAGTAACTAAAAGCCCTACCTGAACCATATTGCATGGATGAAGCATCTAGGGATGGACACCAACAAACTTGGTTTGGTTGCTGGATCTGACCTACATTATCCATATTGATGACCAGGTTAAAGATTTGGAGCAGATACATTCTCAAGTAAATTTGATGGCCTGTTGTGATTTAACTTGCATTGATGATGCATATTAGGATGGACAATTCGTGACTTGATTCTGATGTAGGAAATAGAGACATTTTCTTGATCAGTGAGTAGGTTAATAATTTTGGAATGGTTCAATCCCCAATGAACTTTATGACCTTCATAAACAGAACTAGCATGAATATTGTTGTCAGAATACACACTTGCTATTAAAAATAATGTGATTTGTATTATTAAAACTGATAGCATTCGTCGAGGTGAGCTTCGTTGTCTTTGACTTCGTATGTTTTATTTAAGTAATCGATGTTGTTTTGTCATAAATGTGTTATGTATGTGAAATTCTTTTTAAACAAATCATCCTACATTTTTTTGTTTGATATCAAAGTACTTTGTACTTACTTGTATTATGACAAATAGGGTTGCCAATAATTCTTTAAAAATTGACAATTTTGTCAAATTTTAAGAAGACTCCACGCAAATTAACAACGGACGTACAATTAATAGCACTGATACCTACCCATCCTACCCTATCACCCCAAAAAGTAATTACAAGTTATGGAAACAAAAAAGTGCAAGTATTTTGAATGTTTTGAATGATTGTAGATTAAACAGGCATCAGTTTATGTTGGCAGTGAAGCAATACTTAGAGAAGAAAGGAAAACGGAAAGAACTAAATGAGCAATTTTATCAGTTTGAAGGTAAAGTTGTTTCAGTAGAATCAGTACACACACATCCTCACAACCACACAAACATCCACACATATTTTATTTATCCTATAATTTAGGAAAATGCAATTATAAAGACTATAATATTATTTGATCGATTTATAATAATTCATGTAAAATTTCTGAGCCAATAAAACACAATGTTTTTAATGCCCTTGAGACCTCTATTTGTGAAACTAAAAATTTGAAACCTAATTGCATATCTACAGTACAACTTTATTGATAATTGGGCATACGAATACATTTTGTGTTATATGATCTCATCGAAATAAGTTTGTTTACCTCATAATGTCTTCATCATAAAAACATTGGATAGTTTAAATATATTCTACAATAAAAGATGAGATTATAAAATATGAAAATCTGAAATCGTAAAAATAAATATATGAATACATGTGTCTGTAAGATTTAATTAATTTTCAATCAGTCTCTGAAAAACTTTGAATTTTAAACATATTTTAGGTTTAATCAATACCATTTGTAATTATGACTAGAATATCGTTTATCCTATTGTAACTAATATTAAAAATGCTTTATTTTTAGCCCATATCTTTTTTGACGATGCTTTCAAGGAAAATAAGAAAAAAGTTAAACCAAAGGCTCGAATAGATGGTAAAGAAAAGAAGCTTTTTCCTGGAGAGGAGACTAATGAATATGTTACACAACTTATGAAATGTATTGAGGAAACTGCAAGGTATTTTTCAGGGCAATTCTTTATCCTTTACCAAACCTTACTTTTATTGCTATAAAATACGAAAATATATATAAAAAAAAAATAGTGATTGCCTCTCCTCTGCATACGTTTTTTCCGCGGCGTGATAAACGTCTAAAGAAAAAATGAAGTTGCAACGCCCGAAGCCCTTCCCCTTATTCCAATTTGAAAGAGGATTTCAAGTTGGGACTATGTTTCTTTTTGTTATTATATGTCAATTTTTTTTAATGAAAGTAGTCATACATCCCCCCACCCCACCTCAAAAACCGCATCCCACCTACATGCGGTATAAATGTATAGACATTGAATTCATTCAAAGTCTTAATCTGAGGGGAAGGTCAATATATGTCTAATTTAGACTACGGCACACAAGTAAATAGACATTTCTCATAACATTGACTACAGTTTTCACCACTCAGACAATCTTGACAAACTGTAAACGTTCGATCGAGAGAGTGAGAGGAAGTTAGAGAAAGACTGAGAGCGAGTCAAAGTACCGTATTTAATACCTTTAAAATACATATTTTGCTATACTTTCCAGAGACCAGAAAAGCTTATGCATAGTAAGGCGGAAGTCATCCGTCCGTCTGTCTGTCCGTCTTAAAAAAGATTTTTAAAACACTACTCCTTCTACAGTTTTGGGTGATTTCAATATAAATCAGCACACAGATAGACAACGCTAGGATGCATAGTCTGTTTTATTAATTTAATTGATTTAGATGAACGGTGTTGTCATGGTTACAAAAAAAGAGATTTGTCGGAAACTCTTTGAAACGTTACCCCTCTTGCAGTTTTCGTCTGATTTCAATAAACTTGGCACACTATTAGATTATACTAAGATACATAATACTGTATATATAAGCTTTTGATTTCAATGACCGGTATGCCATGGTTACTAAAAATAGAAATTTCTGTAAAAAAAAACTTTAACGCTATTTTTTCCTACAGATTTGTTTTGATTTAAATATAACTTGGCACAAGTAGACTGCAGTAAAATGGATAATTTTCTCAGTCTATTTTGATTTTGATGAATGGTTTTGCGATGGTTGGTAACTTTTAAAACTTTCAAGTCCAACTGATTCTTTTATCTACCTTTGTGCATGATAATCTCGTCAGAGACTTGGTTAATTCTACTCTTCAGGTCTTTTTATAAAATGGATGAGTTTCGTACCTCAAAGAAATATAGGACACCATATGGAGGAAGATTAGAATGGGATTTAATAGTTCCAAATTTTGATGATGAACCAGTGAATAAATCTAGCGCGGGAAGAACATTTAGTTCTGATGAAAACAAAGACAATGGATCTAATTCTAGTGCAAATAATTCTTCTGAAAAATCTTCTAAAACTCCATTAGAGAATCCAGAAAATTCTTGGACAGTCCCATGTAAACTTGTCCTTCATCTTAAATACAAAGCTCTTATCCGCAAAAAGAAGAGATGGAGTCAGGTAAATTTTAGATTTATAGGACACTTTTATTAAAGAGATAAAGCTTTCTTTTTGAATTCGTCTGGTTTAAAAATTTGTCGACTCCAAAGAGGACAATAGAGACGAACATTTTTCAGTTTACGATAGCATTTTCTTGTAGGTGATGTACATGTATTTTCTTCTAAGCTACAATTCGATAGCTAATAAACTGGGAGGAAAGAAAACATTGACCGAAAATTCATCAAGTTCAACTGAGACTTTTGGATCTGAAGAAATGAAAAGAGGGGTTAGTCATTTTCAGTAAACGTTATGATGTCTATGGAAAGAGTCAAAATTACGATTTGCATGGTCTTTAGGTACTGTAATTTTTGGCCAAACCATCAAAATAAATGCTCTCTCACAACCTCAAAAATTCTTTCCTCCTGGATATTTTAAAAAAGTCATAATTTCTAATTATACGATCACAATGAGTATCTTTTTACCCTGTGACTCTACTAAAAACTAGCGTTGTTACAATCATTATCTCTCGTGTTAGCGGTCGCCCACGTGGCGCAGTGGTTAGAGTTGCAGAGTAAGGAGTTGATCTTTGCGTCCAGGGTTTGAATCCCACTAGACATGAAGAGCGGTCCTTCGGATGTGACCGTCGAAAACAAGGTGTCACAGTAGGTGCTGGCACGAAAAAAAATCCCTCACTTCTCCATGGCCATCAGTGACGATTATAGGTCTGAATTTTAGCCTTCCACTGGCAAGTGGTGGGGTCTCTATGTGAGTGAAAATTTCTCGAGAGGAACTTAAACAACATACAATCAATTCATTGGTCTAGGGTTAAGAGATTTCGTAATGGGTGTAAGTTTGTCAAATTTTAAAGATACGTTATAGCTTTTACAACAGATACCAAAGTGGTCATAGAACGAGAAACTTGATACCTATAGGTGACCGCACTAGCCCATGAAATTCCTTTTAATGTGTAAAGCAACTATGACACTCAATGGATTCATGAAAATCAAATTGTTGATAAAAATTTTGAAGAAACTTAATGAAACTGTGTTTTATTTACGGAAAAAGTTACTAGTTTATATTTGAAAAATATGAAACGACGCAATTTTGAGCATTCTACATGATAATTGGCAGCAAAATGGCATTTCGGAGAAGGATCGTGAGAGATTTGCAAACACATATATCCTTGCTTTAGATGGCGACGTTGACTTCAAACCTGGCGCTGTTCTAAGATTGCTGGAACGAATGCAGAAAAACATTAATGTTGGAACAGCTTGTGGACGAATCATTCCAAAGGGCGGAGGTAATTGCTCAACATATTTAATCTTAAACTTGATTTGATTTATCAAATCAAGCTTACAAGATTTTCTCTACATCTGTAGGTCCAGTTGTGTGGTATCAAAAGTTTGAGTATGCAGCAAGTCACTGGTTACAAAAATCTACGGAGCACATTTTTGGATGTGTCCTTTGTACCCCTGGCAGTTTCAGTCTCTTTCGGGCTTCTGCTTTGATGAGCACTGATATCATAAAGATTTACACAAGTATCCCGTCAACTGCTTTTGAGTACGTCCAGTTTGACCAGGGTAGGTTTAATGCTTTTGTGTATGTTTATATATATTACGGATGGCCATTTGTAAACTGGTTAACCGATTACTCGGTCGGAACGATAAGCATCGGCTAGAATTTCTGTAATCGGTTAGTTGCAAAACATAAATATAGGTTTTTCAGCACATCTTAAATATGACACTATGTGAAAGGATAAAATTTTGAAAACTTTTTACACTCTAACATTTTTTTATTAAATAAATAAACTGTATTATTTCACTGTTGAAATTATTGTAAATATACATGCATGTATCATGTCATTTCATGCCACAACACATTTTTTTTCTCAGGAGAGGACAGGTGGTTGAGTACTCTTTTATTAAAACAAGGTTACAAACTGGAATACACAGCAGCTTCTGATGCTAATACCTTTGTACCTGAAGGGTTATTCGAGTTTTTCAATCAAAGAAGAAGATGGTCTCCTTCTACTTTAGCTAACATTTTTAGCTCACCTGAGCCGAAGGCTCAAGTGAGCTTTTCTGATCACATTTTGTCCGTCGTCCGTCCGTCCGTCCGTCTGTCCGTCCGTAAACTTTTCACATTTTCGACTTCTTCTCAAGAACCAATGGGCCAATTTTAACCAAACGTGGTACAAAGCATTCTTAGGGGAAGGGGAGTTTAAATTGTAAAAATGAATGGCTAAGTTCCTGTACAAGGGGAGATAATCAAGAAAAGACAAAAATTGGGTGGGGTCATTAAAAAATCTTCTTCTCAAGAACCACTGGGCCAGGAAAGCTGAAACTTATGTGGAAGCATCCTTGGGTAGTGTAGATATTAAATTGTTAAAACCATGACCCCCGGGGGTTGGGCGTGGCCACAATAGGGAATTCAAGTTTTACATAGAAATGTATAGAACAAATCTTTAAAAATCTTCTTCTCAAGAACCACTGGGCCAGGAAAGCTGAAACTTATGTGGAAGCATCCTTGGGTAGTGTAGATATTAAATTGTTAAAACCATGACCCCCGGGGATTGGGCGTGGCCACAATAGGGAATTCAAGTTTTACATAGAAATGTATAGAACAAATCTTTAAAAATCTTCTTCTCAAGAACCACTGGGCCAGGAAAGCTGAAATTATGTAGAAGCATCCTTGGGTAGTGTAGATATTAAATTGTTAAAACCATGGACCCCAGGGGTTGGGCGTGGCCACAATAGGGAATTCAATTTTTACATAGAAATGTATAGAACAAATCTTTAAAAATCTTCTTCTCAAGAATCACTGGGCCAGGAAAGCTGAAACTGATGTGGAAGCACCCTGGGGTAATGTAGATTCTAAATTGTTCAAATCTTGACCCCCGGGGGTTGGGCGGGGCCACAATAGGGAATACAAGTTTTACATAGAAATATATAGAACAAATCTTTAAAAATCTTCTTCTCAAGAACCACTGGGCCAGGAAAGCTGAAACTTATGTGGAAGCACCCTGGGGTAGTGTAGATTCTAAATTGTTGAAATCATGACCCCCGGGGGTAGGGCGGGGCCACAATAGGGAATACAAGTTATACATAGAAATATATAGAACAAATCTTTAAAAATCTTCTTCTCAAGAACCACTGGGCCAGGAAAGCTGAAACTTATGTGTAAGCATCCTGGGGTAGAGTAGATATTAAATTATTAAAATCATGACCCCTGGGGGTAGGGCGGGGCCACAATAGGGAATCCAAGTCTTGCATAGATATATTTAGGAAAAATCTTTTAAGAATTTTTTTCTCAAAAACTACTGGGCCAGGAAAGCTGAAACTTATGTGTAAGCATCCTGGGGTAGAGTAGATATTTAATTGTTAAAATCATAACCCCCAGGGGTAGGGCGGGGCCACAATAGGGAATCCAAGTTTTACATAGATAAATTAGGAAAAATCTTTTAAGAATCTTTTTCTCAAAAACCACTTGGCCAGGTAAGCTGAAACTTATGTGAAAGCATCCTTGCTAGTGTAGATTCTAAAGTATTAAAATCATGAAAGGGGAGGGGGTACGGGGGGGCATGATAGGTATAGCAAGAGGGGAAATCGGGTAAAGAACTTCATCACCCAAGTTACTCAGGTGAGCGATGTGGCCCATGGGCCTCTTGTTGAAATTATCTCTAGCCTATCATCAGATACAAGAGAGAAAGGATTTGTTAGTAAGCTGTATCTGGTGTATCACATGTTTCTTTTCGCGTCATCCATAATTACTCCGGGAACAATTTTCCTTATGATCCTTGGAGCTACTGTATTGGCATTTCCGATCATTCCAGTCTGGGTAGCCTTCATCATAAACATCACACTTATTGTAATCTTTATGTCATCGTGTGTACTTGCAAAGGAGGAAACACAGGTAAATATACCGATTCGTGTTAATTTATACTGATTGAGGGAATTGGTCAAGTTCCAGTTTGAAAAGACCAAGTAGTAAAGTATTTCCCAAGGAGAGAAATAAGTTTTGCTCTCGGGAAACACCAATCTGACTGACTCGTTAGTTCATCAATATGCTTAGTTTTATCAAACAAAATCCGCCGAAACATGGCTGAAAAATTGCTGACTTGGCGTTAGACAATATACAATCAATCAATCAATTAATTATAAAAAAAAAAAAAGAGGATAACAAACAGTGATCAACGGCATAATTCAGTTAACAAAACATACTTAAGGTTAAACATCTACATTCATCAGAGATTGGATCAGGTGCTTAGGGGGAAGAATCATCCCGTGTCAATTTGGACACGTACATGACCTCGAGCCCATTTCAATTTTTGATCAGGAAGGTGAAGTACAGGTCAAATTTAGTATAAAGGTAATGACTAAATACATGATAAAAATACATTTAGAATATCAATTATTTTGTCCCCAATTTTGTTTTTAGTTGTAAAATTCATTACTTTACAGAGTTAAGATATATTTTTATTTCGTGTTCGAAAATGAGGCATATTTTGGCACATCCTCGTTCTCATTTACCCTTTTAGACAAATGTTCTTTTGCATTTTAATTACAGCTCACCATAGCGGCTGTGATGTCTGCAATTTACGCTCTGACGATGGTGGTTGTGCTGGTCGGTCTCGTCATGGATGCAATCAACAGTGGCTTTTGTTCAGTTACAAGCTACTTTTTCTGTTACGTGGCAGGGACGTTTCTTTTGGCGGCGTTGATGCATCCACTGGTAATTGTTTGAAATGTCTTTAATTATCAAAAAAAAAAACCATTGTTTTTTCTTTGTAAGCATTTAGCAAAGTTTTTATCTACTGTTATTAAAAATTACAGATACATTTTAAAACAACTTAATCATGTACTCAGATTATCTTTACCTGCATCTTATAGTTATGTAAGAAAAGTCTTTTTGAAATGTTAAACAACAGGAATTTTACAACATTTTTTATGGAATCGTTTACTTTCTGGCGGTTCCTACCACGTCAATGTTACTGTTGATTTATGCTTTGGGGAATCTCCACGTGACTTCATGGGGAACAAGAGAGTCCAACAAACCGGGAAAGATAGGTAAACAAAAACTAGAGGACCCAGAGGAATCATCGTGTTCCTGCTTTGGAGTATGTAGGTATGTCCAAAACTTTTGGAGTATGTAGGTACATGTATGTCCATAACAAAGTAATACGTATGGTATTTAATTCCCATACCTGAATTGTTTTGATATGGTATAAAAATATGTAACGAAAATGGCAAAAGGAATAAGGCATCAATCAAATTTTAAATTATTACCAGTAACAAAAGATATAATTTTATGTATATGTAAGTTCTATGGTATGTCTATTGAAAATTGTTAGCAAATATAACCCTGATTTTAATTAGATCGTATATTGAATGACACTTTAAATTTAATGTAAGCCTTAATTTAAAAAAAAATATTTTGATACAAAATATTTCGTCTAACAGTTCTATACATAAGACGGGGCAAAGGGAAATGCTTTATCCTCCAAGGCACCTTGCCCCGGGATCATGAAATGTCTTAAGCTTAAATAAAAATCTTCATACTGTACTTAAATTTTATAGAAGGTAAACAGATCAAAATTGAAATGTGTTTTAATTTTGATTCATAGAAATGTATTTTGCAAATATTTAGATCAATCCAATAATTAATAAACATTTTACAGGCAATTTTATTTCTCTATTTTCATTTATAGATGTATTTGTCTGCCAAATGCAACAGTACAGGTGAAGAAGCAGAAAGGTACAATACTTTTACCGGGAATTCAAAATTTAAATTTTTACATCCCGTTCGAGAATTTTTCACTCATTATAGAATTGTACGCATCTATCGATGAAGCCTCTTACTCGGCAGTTTAGGCCATTGATCGGTGAGGGTTCTTTATCATGCCAATGCCTACCATGACACGGTATATTGATAAGCATTTTTAGCTTGCATGAGCCGTAGGCTCAAGTGACCTTTCTGCTCAAAATTTGTCCGTTGTCTGTCGTCTTTGTCGTGAACTTTTCATGTTTTCATCTTCTTCTCAAGAACCACTGGACTTATTTCAACCAAACTTGCCATAAAGCATCCTTGGGTAAAAGGGATTCAAGTTTATTTACATGATGTGCTACATCTATGACCCTTTTAAGGGGAGATATTTAAGAATTCGTGAAAATTTGATGTCATCTTAAAGAATCACAGGGCAAGAGAAGATAAATCTTATGTGAAAGCTTCCTTACATATTGTAGATTCAAGTTTGTTTATATCATAACCCTTTGGGTAGAGTAGGATATAGAGATAACGAACAGTATTCAATATCAAAGTCCATAAAATAATACAAAATAGGAGCAGAGCAAACACGGACTTCCGAAACATCAGAGGTGGGATCAGGTGCCATGGAGGAGTGAGGATTCCCTGCTGACCGGTCACACCTGTTTAACGCCGAGTCGCAATACTTCAGTCAGTCATATTTCGGCGAACAATCCTTGGAATTGACTAGTCTATTAAAGAGTTATATAAGGCAAAGCTTTTGTAAAGTCAGGCATTCAGATGGTAGCTGAAGAAGTTGGATGCTGAATCAGCAATAAAGAAGTTAAGGTATCCCATCCTCACAGCAAAAGATTAAATAAAAATTGAAAGCATAACAGATGTGTAGGTGTTGAATTCTCAGTATATTTAGACATACCCCGATAATTCCCATTTATTACTTATAGCATGTAAAAGATTTGTCTTAATTTATGACCTTAGAATGTGGTAAGAGTTATCTCCCTCTGTGTTCATTAATATCAAATTTAAAGAAACTGAAGAACAGCGGTAAGTATTCTGTGGAATTGATGTTAAAATTCCATGGTTAGTAATATTGATATAGAAGCATCCTGAGGTAGCTATAGTGTAAATTAAAGCCCCCCCCCCTCCTTTAAAGGGGGCATAATGTTTAAACATTAAGGTTAGTCGCGACCTTCCAATAACAGAAGGATTGCTCTATTGACAGAGCAACCGTCACGGTGAAAACTTGGAATGAATGTAAAAAAAGTTTGATTAGATCTTTGTGTTCTCTACTATTCACAAACAGCATATAATCTTACAGTATATCATCTGTAGATAAAGCAAAGAAACAAGAAAGACAAAAGCCAAAGAAAGAGAAAAATAAAGGTAAAAGCTCCAACGATTAATTTTCATTTATATTCTTTATCCACATTGTTGTTAATGATATGGTTTGTTTTTCATTATCCCAGGGAAAATGCCTTCTGCTGACATAAACACAAGGACACAAGAGAAAAAAACATTGTTATCTGATGCTGATAATATGAAATACGATGAAAAGGAGTTCTGGGACGAAATCATAGATAAATACCTGAATCCCAAAATTCAAGAGGACACCAAAAACAGGAAAAATTATTGAATCTACGAAATTCGGTTTTTGCTGGATTTATCATGTTAAATATAATCTACATAACTATTGTCTTCACTATAACACAAGCAAATGAACTCAATAATGACGTATTTACCGTACGTCTACCTTGTCCGAATAGAACTGGCCACTTCGACGTAGATCCCATTTCTATTGTTTTCTGCATATCGTTTGGACTTGTTCTGTTTTTCCAGCTGATCGGAATGATAATTCATAGATTCTCCACCTTTACACATATTGTTGCCGTGTCCAAAATAACAGATAAATCGTTTAAAGACAACAATAAGAAGGAAGTGGAGAAAATGTGGGATTTGGCAATTGAAAGATATAAAACTAATATTAATAAAAAGGATTAGTTTCCTAGGGCTGGGGTTTGAACTGAAGAATAACTTGGAAATGGTCAATGAATAAGAGTATTGAGAATATAGCAACAGTACTTTAATTTCTATAAAATGAAATACTATTAATCTTTTTTTATATATTAAGAACCTAACAATTTCCAAAGCATGATTTAGTGCTCTTAATTAACCATATGCAAAAATGATGCAAGTATGTATTAGCTGTAGTGAAATAAAAATATTCTAATAAAGCTGAAATTATTTCAGTTCATGTCAAAATCTTAGCTTAGCTCAGCCATCCTCACTCACATATACCCTCACCCACACACCTTTGCACGCAAACACATCCTCTCACTCTCAAACACACACCCAACACTTGTCTCTCTCTCTCTCATATACACACCCTTACACACAAACACACCCTCTCTCTCTCTCACACACACACACACACACACACACACTCTCTCAGAGACACCCTTCCTCCATCACATACATTGAAATACAACTTGGTTGCTTTGTGTTTCCTTATTATTGAGTTTTTTTTCAGCCTTGTCCATAACATATGGTTAATAATGTTGTTTTCGCAATCCCGACAAACTTTTAGAAACTTAATAGAAACATACTGACATAACGAACAGTATTCAAAAAACAATACAAAATAGGAGTAGTGCCAACACGGACCTTCACAACATGAGAGGTTGTCAACTCAGTGGATAAATAATGGACTAACAATTAGTATTAAAAACTTTAGTCAGCATTTGACTCAATGATAAATTGTATTTGCTGACAAGGTCATTATATCGACCATAGAACTTACAAAATGATGATTTTAAACGAGACTGATATTCTTGTTTCGTCAACTTGTTTGTCAAAACTTTACCTAGTTTTAGAAATTGTTATTACTGAGATGTATAAACTCTGTATGCAGGTAATGAAGGTATTTTGCTGCATTAGTAAGGGAAGTTGACGATTAGGAAGTTTAAGTCATCACGTTTATCATAGAGCATGGTTGTTAGATTACCATTAACGTCTTTTTCAAGTAATACATCCAAATAAGAAACAGATGTGTCAGACTCTGTGGTATCCTTTATCTCAAGCTCACCGGGATATATCGTGTCGACATAAGAATGGAACTACCATTATTACTTGACAATATGTCGTCGATACATGTATATCTAAATGAAGAGTTGAAGGCCACAGAAAGTGTTTTTTTTTCTTTTTTGTATAAGATTTTGGACAAATTCTGCTTTAAATTAATACAAAAAAGGTCTGCTAATAACGGAGCGCAATTGGTACCCCTGAGGAATACTTGGTCTCCAAAAACTACTTTAGTTAGATATTATCAATCATGCAGGAACTCAAACATCTTTTTGATGTCAACTTCGGAGTACTTGTGTGTGCAATCATAATGTTTTTAACGAAATAATTTTGCAAAAAACCAATGATAAGGTAAAAAAAAAATTAGAGTTTCAGCTCAGATGAGCTTTTCTGATCACATTTTTCTGAAGTCCGTCTGTCTGTAAACTTTTAACATTTTCAACTTCTTCTCCAGAACCACTGGGCCAATTTCAACCAAACTTGCTACATAGCATCCTTGGGTGAAGAAGATTCAATTTTGTTCAAATGAAGGGCCCCGCCCTCTTTCCAGGGGAGATAATTAAAAAATAGTAAAAATTTGGTGGCGTGTTTGAAAATCTTCTTCTCAGGAACAACTGGGTCGGGAAAGATGAAACTAATGCGGAAGCATCCTCAGGTAGTGTAGATTCAAGTTTGCTCAAATCACGACCCCAGAGGTAGAATTAGGCCACAATGGACGATCAAAGTTTTACATAGAAATATATAAGAAAATCTTTAAAAGTCTTCTTCTCAAGAACAACAAAGCCCAGTCATATTTATATGGAAGCATTCTCAGATTCAAATTTGTTCAAATCATGACCCCCGGGGGTAGGGCGGGGCCTCAATGTACTCAAAGTTTTACATACGAATATATAGGAAAATCTTTAAAATCTTCTCAAGAACAAAGCCATATTTGCTCATATTATATGGAAGCATTTCTAGGTGGTGTAGAATCAAGTTTATTCAAATCACGACCTCCGGGGGGAAGTTGGGGCCAAGATGAAAGTTCAAACTTCTAGGGAAAAATTCCACAGTAAGTCATAGAATATGCAAGCATCCTTAGTAAGTATAGATTGATTCAAATCATAACTCACCCACTCCCTTCCACCTTTTAGTGGTAGGTTGGGACCTCATGCATTTTTAAAAGCTCCCAAAAATGGATTGATTATTTTCTTCCAGTACTCAGGTGAGCGATGTGGCCCATGGGCCTCTTGTTGATGAAAAACCAGCTGTCGCTGATATCAAAAAGCCTGGACTTTAATTTATCGTGAGCAGTGCTTCTTTATAGAATTTAAAAGTAAAAAAATTCAATGCTGGTTTTGGTAAAGTTCTGTGATTTCAGATTATCCAAACGTTCATTGGAATTTTTAAGTATTCATATCTGATTTACACCACACAGTACTCTTGAAGTTTCTCCTTCACTTCTGTTTATATCTTAGTGAGAAGTAAAAAATGAGGCTTGGTTTAGCATTAACTGGAACCCGCTATGTATTTTTGTAAGGAATTTTATAAAGTTTCGGAATCCGATATAGATATGGTAGTTCAAATTCATTTTGGTTCTTTGGGATATTAAAACTGACATATGATTTTAAAGAAGTTCTTCCTTGGAATGGCAACTATGAGTATAAGTTGGATTACCACTTGTAGAATTAAATCTAAATTCTTCTACAATACAATTTACATATTAGTAATGGGCTTTACAAACGAAGACAATGTTGTTACCTACTTTGTCGGCAGAGACCAGTCCGCACTGATCATGTAATTAATCTAATTCTTTTTTTTCACTTCTTGATTATTTAATACAGAAAGATAGATGGTTTTCAAATTGGCCCTTCATATTTTAATTCGCGATTGTAACATAGATATGATACATTTAAATCCATTCTGTCAAAGTGTAAATTATTATCTTGCGTACAAGATGTTCAGCTAGATTATACTTTTTTTCTTTAACAAACACGATTGTATATAATTTTTCAAAGAGATTACGTGGTGAATCTTATTATCTTGTATGGGATACATATTTTGTCTTTAAAGTAGTATTGAGAAATAAAACAATGGTATATATTTTTGGAATAAAACTTGTTTAATCAGAGATCAGTAATATCAAATCACTATGAAAAAGATGAAATGAAAATATCAAAACTTTATGAAACGGGACAAGAACTTTAGTTCATTTCGTTTTAAATAGTTTTACTCCAATTTATCACTTTAGTAGTTCCAAGTACATTCATAGTGATTAAATATTTGACCAAAAAAATGTTTTGTTGTGTTTAAAAACACTATGCAGAACGTACTGGACAAAAGTTTAAGCAATGGAGAAAGTTCATTTCTGAGGATATTACATGTATATTTAAATTTTCTCCTTTAGAGCGCAGTTAGTTTTTTCGTACAGAGTAAGGATAAGGGATAGAATAAAAATAATTGAAGTCTTCAAGTTTATTATAGATTTTTTGTTGTTTTTTAAAGCAATAAAGATTTTATTGTTTATTTTCGATAGATAGTAATTAATCAATAGAGACATCGTCAAATAGATCGTTTATCATTTATCTATTCCTACCTATGGTCTTTTATTACTTGAACTGTTGGTTTCATCAACAAAGAAATAAAAATGATACGAAAATTCAGAAAATGAAATTTATGATCAGGAACCATATCGATACTTTAAAAAATGATCTACACCCTACAAATGAAATCATATTGTTTCTTTGAGCATTTGATGCATATAAACACATTTCTAAGATTTCCGTCAAGAAACTAATATAAGGAACAAAAAGGAATACGGTATATACAATGTGATGAAAAATGGGTTTTTTTTATTGTATTCAGTATGAAATGCCAATGATAAAGTTCGTATAAAAGGTATCTGAATGAAATGGGGAAGTATATGTACCTTTCTAATTTGTTTGGTTTTATGTCCCCTTAATCGAAGAATCAGAGGGTATGAGTGAGGTAGACGATGGAAAAAAGTTACAAGCTCTTAGTTTTTCAAAAAACCGAAAGATTGCCGAAAATGAGATGTTTATAAATAAGTCTTCGAGACGAAAGGGTTACAGTATGACATAAACATGTAATGCATATTAAAATGAATAAATAATAAAAATTGTTTGTCGATATAAGATTTAAAGAAAAAATGAAACGGAGGGTTTTTTTTTTCAAAGTAACTGTGAAACAAACTTACTTCTTCTTTATGTTTCACAATAAAACCACATGATTGCTTTCATTGACAGTACAATGTGCAAACATACGATAATTAATATATTACCTCGTATAGCAATGAATGATATACCGAAAATGTTATGGATTAAAATATCAAATTCTATTTCTTTACTTCAACCGCTGTTTCTCATATCGCCAGCAATTTATGGAGTCTAGACCAATCAGATTTTAGTTTTTAACGGGAAAATATAAAAAAAAAAATGATTGTAATTAAAGATAGACCCCTAGAATTTCGTGAAAAAAGAGCATTGTTAAATAATGAAACGGGGAAAATATCGATTATTTTCTACGTCATTGATCTGACAAATCAATTTTAAGATGTCACGTTTAATTCAGAAAAATGAACAACGAAATACTACCTGAACAACTTAAGCCAAATAATTCTTCCTGTAAATACTTTGAAAGATAGATTTCAACAAATGAATTCTAAATGTGGAAATATATATATACACGTATATATTCTTAAGGAAGTCTAAGCAATAACTGAAAAGGAAATAATTATTCTTTAGTAGATAATATTCTGTTTGTGCTGTCAATGTCATTTTTATTCTTCACTTTTGATTGTAAACATGCAGAGGAAAAATGAACGCAAATAACGATGAACATGGGAATACAGGGATGGAAAAACTTGTTTTGAAAAACGAAAACTCACTTCAGTCCAATTCATCTTCGGGTTCTTCGGGATACAGTGCTTGTTCAAGAGTCCCAAGTCTTGAGGAATTACAGCAAGACGAATTTGTTAGCGTTGAAACATTTGAACGGGAAGGAATTGACGAACCAAATATACTCCGAAGCATAGTGCAGACCGAAGGTAAGCAATCTTACATTTACCGTTTAATGAAAGCAAAACATATCAAATGGCAAATTTTTAACCTGAACCTGATGACAGGGAAAATAATATAAAGCTTTAAAATAAAACACATGTAAGAACTACCCAAACCCATGGGCCACTATTTTATTCATTCCTTATAAATCGATTTTATTAATAAACCTTGTTATACCCCTATTAAACAATCCCCATGTAGTCTGTACTTTCTTAATTTAAAAAGTCTAAGATACTGACTGTTTTCCCCGACGGTCGGTCCAGCAACTGTTAAAAAGACATTGCCCGCTGTTGTCACTGAACTGAATTATCTTTTCATTTGGCAAAGGAGAATAAAAGAACAGTTATCGACCGATTTCTGTTGTTTTCACTAACTTGAATACGCAACATTCCTTCTACCTAAATAAAAGATATGGAGAGAACAGTATTCAATATCAAAGTCCATAAAACAATACAAAAAGGAGCAGAGCAAACACGGACTTCTGAAACATCAGAGGTGGGATCAGGTGCCATGGAAGAGTGAGCATCCCCTGCTGACCGGTCACACCCGCCGTGTGCTCATTGTCATGATCGGGAAATAACGGAAAAATTCGTCGTCAATTCAGTGCATGTATAAATAATGGACTTACAATTAGTATGAAAAACGTCAGTCAGCATTTGACTCAATGATAAATTGTATTTGCTGACAAGGTCATTGTATCGACCATAGAACTTATGAAAAGATTATTTTAAACGAGACTGCTGATATTCTTGTTTCACCAACTTGCTTGTCAATAATTACCTCGTTTTAGAAATTGTTCATACGTCGTTTAAGAAATTGTTCATACGTAGAGCATGCTTTTGCGTATCGAATCAACTGAGATATGTACACTCCGTATGCAGGAGATGATGGTATATTGCTGCATAAGTAAGGGAAGTTGACGACAGAAAAGTTAAAGTCATCACGTTTATCATTTAGCTTGGTTGTTAGATTACCATTAACGTCCTTTTCAAGTAAAATATAAGTATGAAACAGATAAGTCAGACTTTGTGTTATCTTTTATCTCAAGCTCACAAGAATATATCGTATCGACGTAGGAATGGAAATTGCTATTGTTAATTGACAATATGTCGTCGATATATCTAAATGTCGAGTTGAAGGCCAGAGTAAGTGTTTTCCTCTTTTCACGCATGCTTTTGCACAAATTATGCTTCATATAGATATAAAAATAGGTCTGCTAATAACGGAGAGCAATTGGCACGCATGGGAATTCCAGTAGATTGTTGGAATACCTGGTCTCCAAAAACCAAATTGATATTGTCAATCAGAATCTCAAGCATCTTTCTGATGTCAACTTCTGAATACTTGTGTGCGCAATCAGAATGTGTTAAAACAAAATAATTTTGCAAATGAGGTAAGTAAATTTACGAGTTCTATTTTTATGAAAAAGCAGCTGTCAATGATATCAAAAAGCCGGGACTTTAATTTATCGTGGGGAATGGATGTGTATAAAGTTGAAAAGTCATAAGTTTTTAAGCTGTTGATTTTGGTAAATCGTGTGATTTCAAATGAATATAATACGAAGTCCCGATTGCAAGTGTAACGGATATCAGGAGATGCTTACTCCTCGGCACTCTGGAACTTCCAGAGCTCCTTGATTTATACTCTGTTTTCAGGTTTTCAAGTACATGTGTACATGTATATACTGTTTGAATATCTTTTCATATTTATCTTTTAATCATTTTTATTGATTTCATTAATAAGTCGACATGTCGACTGCGTGCCGCAATGGCTAGAGCCATTGAATAAGGACCTGTGTGTGTGTGTGTGGGTGTGTGTGTGTGTTTTAGAAATTCACATTTCCAAAGAGACTAAGTAAACTTTGTTCTTTGCAGCCTGTTTGCTTTTCACTGGTAACCATTGGCTCCTCTTTACAAATGTATAAGTGAAAAATTCTCGAAAGGACGTGATACAAAAATAACATATGTCGACACGCATTTTATATCCCAGTGATTTAGAAATAAGAGATAAAACAGAGTCTACATACCTGTTGGTATATTTATTTCCCTGATTATACGCTAATGGCCAACTGACAATATTACTCTATTATAAACGGGAAGACTTCAGCTTTATCGTCGTAAACTTCTGTAATATTATATGCAATTGTATTCTTCTGTTAAGTGTTTGTATCTCTAACTTCATTCATACTCAAGAGAACGACTATTTTTTAAACCGAGGAAAAGTACTGACTAATAAGTTATAAAATCTCGGAAAAAGTCGAAATTTTGAACGTTTTAAAATCTTGAAAAGAAACAATCTCAGTTTCGCCATATTTTCAGTTTACATTTGTAGTTATTTGTTGGATATAATTTAATACTTTTCATATCTGCTCTGTATAAAACCAATGGCGAGCGTGACCAGTCAATAGTATGTACATTTATTGACTGGGTTCGAGAGCAGCATGCGTTTTGACTTCAACCAAACAGTTTGGTTCGAGAGGTCGACAAAACGCATTTTGCCATGGAACAAAGATAATAAATGTTTTGTTATAGCTTTTACTATTTATTTTGAAATATTAGAATTTAAATTTTGTTTACCTGCTGCATTGAAGTTCTGTCGAACTCCAACGAATGGAAAGAAGTTAAAGTTGTCCCGCCCACCCTGTGACGTAAGCGGCCGAACATCTCATCAACTGGTCAAACATGTCACTTTGCGGCCAAACATTGAATTCTATGCCCTCTCAGTAAAACATTGGAAATGACTTTTTTTGCATACAATTTTATAGGACACAATTTTTAGTGGTATAACAGAAATACTTAGTCCATTTATGAACTTGTCCTGTTCATAATTTTTCATGTTTTTATAATAATCATAGGATCGACTTTTTTATTATTGCCTTTATTGATTGTTTGGTGATTTTTTTCTATTTGATGATTACTTTTGAGCATGTGTTTTATTTTTTTTATTTTCAGAAATAAATGAGATTCATAAAGTCGAAGACTACGTTGAAAAACTTAAGACGTCAAAACCACATCAAAGAACAGATATAATAAAATTAATACAGACCGAATTGTTGCCCCACTTAAAAGCTAATGACGACATACGGAATCTGTCCACTTTACTTACATGTGGTGATGAGGACATACAATCCATAACGCTAAAATCCCTGAAGTCAATTTTATTGACGCTAGAAATCGGTATGGTTGAAATACAATCTTTGGAAAGTTGCTTACAAAACATATTAGTGTTGATGATGTCAGATGAAACATCCCAAGTTTTGTGGTTTTCTATATGTCCAGTTGTTTTGCGTGTTATAGCATTTGTTTCCATACAGTTTTGTTATGTAAAATCAGAGAGGAAAAAGACGTCTGAAATAATGTCCCCAATAGTAGCCCATTTAAAGGACTACGCTGAAAAACTAACAAAGCATTGGCATAAGGAAAATACGAAGGTCCACAAAACTATTCATTGTATTGTGCATTTTCTTTCAAAATTTGAAAAATTTAAAATGAGTGAAACTCTCATAAAAATTCTTGGAAATTGGGAAGATGCATTTTCAACAAAAGACAGTGACAAGGATTTGGCAAAGCTAAGGATACACGAGCAATACATTTTCGCATTTGGATTGATCTCAAAGGTATAATTTTAATGCATTTTAACTGTCTCAATAAAAGCTACATGTACATGTATGTCAAAATTGCAACAATGAGTAACTTTACTCTTCAAAAGAACCATGGTAAGTAAATAAAACACTATCCTGTGCCAGTCATGGATCAGTTATTTGCATTCAAGACTTAGTCGAAGTTAATTGCTATTCTTGGGGGAGTGAGCGGAAGAGGAGCAAGTTAGCAAATAATGTAATGTTGTTGTTGTTTATTGAAATGCATAATAAGACGGAGACAGTAGAATGAGAAGGAGATTGAGTATTTAACAACATTGTAAAAGTAATACTGTAAAATAACATATTTTCAAGGGCTCAATATGCCCAACTAAAGAAACATGTTTAATAAAGTAGAAATGGTTCTACGATTAATAAATTAAAAGCTTGAAAGATTATTAAAAATATCAGTAGCTAATCGCAGTTTTTATTAAATTGTTTTATTGGTATTTAGATGGCGAGAAGTCCATCGTTGTTTCGCTGCAACTTTATACAGTTTCTTCGAGCAACATACTGTTGTCCTCATCGTCTTGTGGAGAGGAAGTGGCATGAAGAGTTATTTCATTCTCTTACAGAACTACTCCTTACTGGAGTAGCCGACGTCTTTAACAAAGGTTTTATCTTAGTCTTTAAAGATTTATATTTTGTTTACAATTTTGGAAAATTTGAACTGGTTATCTTTTGATATATACACTTAACAAAACTTCTAAGTGTTCATTTTAATAAATGTATTATTTATTGGAAAAAAACTTAATAGAATGGTATGAAATTTTCAAATTATTACAACAAATGAGTCTTCTCAACAATTATAGAAAGAAAACCAAATATCACCGATGAAAACCAATGTTCCGTGACGAACCTTAAAAACAATAAATCTGTACTTCGCGGCACGTGTTTTGTTTAATTAGCATCTTTTTGTGATCATTATCAAATTTTAAAAAACTGGTTTCACAAAAAAACACACAAAACATTGGCAAAATGACCATTGAGATAGAAGGGAAAGCCGTTGGAATGTTGATATCTGGACCATATTTGCACCACTTTTTACTCACTTTTATTTTAGTGTTTAATTGTCCTTGACATTACTTTTAAGAATTAACAACCATTATCAAAACCCATATAAACACATTTTTCTATAAGCTGTGCGTCATTTTCATCGCCAATTTATCACAATTTGAGAGCTTTGGACAAAATTTAACCAAACCGGAAGTGACCTTGATCTTCTTCTGAGGCCAAAATTTTGCGTCACATGAGGTTAAAAGAGTGTTAAATTATTCTGAAGCAATCTTAGAAACATGAAAACAAACAATTTTAATCATATGAAAATGATAAGAAATCCGTGCTCATGACAGTCAAATATCAGCTCAAGCAGTCTGAATCATCATTAAAGCGGTGCACTTACGAGCTAAACGCCCAAGGATATTGACCAAAAGGCCTCTGTGTGATGATGCACAGTAAAATTACCGGATCTGAATCCCATTGAACACATTTGGCAGTTTATAAGGAATCTCAAAGCCCCCCCCCCTTCCATACCATTTCAACGGTTTGGAAAGATCTATGCAGTAGGTGTAACAGCAGATGGGTCAATCTCCTATTCAGGGGTACATAGTATCCAACAGTAAAGAACGTCTTGCAGTAATTGGAGCGAGTGGTGTTCTTACTCCATAGAGATTATTTTGTGTGAATTTTCATTTTGAGGGTATATAATTTCCTTGGCACTTTGCTTAAAATTCGGACGATATACATAAAATTTACGCAACATCGAACTGAAATATGCATCATTAACCTGAATTAAAGAAATTTTCTATAGTATGCATTTGTTCTTTAAAACTTAAAAATGTTAGGTGAACACTTAGAATTTTGGTTCAGTGTATACTATTGCCTTTATAATATCAGGTGTGTTTATACAATTTAAAAAAAATCTTCCGTGGGATTATGCTTACTTTCATTCCTTTTGTTTAGTTGATGAAAAAAGTGAAGATTTCCAGACCCTCTTGGAAGTATTAAAGGTATCTTCTCAAGGTTTCCATGCTAAATGGTCTTTCCTGCCAATTCCAGAGGAAGTTCACGATCTTCTTTTTACTCTTGGTCATCCAGTATTGCAGTTGGTTGTAAAAGCTTTAGATTTATCAGAAACAATGATTCGAGAGTTAGCAGAAGCCAATATTAAGAATACAGTGCCTGGTCTTCATATACATGACAAAGTTAGGGAAATTTTTTCCAAGACAGATGAAAGGAATTACTGGTCGATATGTGGAGGAAGATTGTATCATTTTAATGTCACGATATCAATTCTGATTCCAGATATTTCCACCCTTAAAAATACTGATCATACTGAAGAAGCAAAGTCAAAACATGTGCGGAAAACCAATGAGTTCGAGATTTTGCTCTCTATGCAGAAAGATTATAGGCATACATGTAATTCAATTGCAAAACTTTTGGCCTACGGGTCCTCTAGCTTGCCGTTGCCATTTTATGTGGTTGAAAATCATCCTCAAGGCTTGTTGGAAAGGCTGTTGGAAGCAAGAAGGTCCCACAAGTGGCTTCCTAGATCATGGATGTACGAACGCTTGCAAGAGATGGCGAGCTGCTTTACCTATCTGCATTCACAGCGCATTGTGCATCGCGATATTACATTGCATTCATTCTGTTTGAAAACGTGTCTGACCTCAGGAAAATGCATGGCTGTGTTACAAAAGTTGGAGCTTGCTCACAGCACAACAAACACCTCTTCGAGCACGCATATTTCAGGTAAAGGAATAAAAAAAAGTTACCATCACAAACCAGTTGTAAATTTATCAATAATGATTGGTTAATAAATGCCGTGTGAGGACAGGAAAGATTCAGTGTATGGTTTTTTTTTTCATTTGTTATATGTAGCAAACACTCCAAATTGAAGCAAAGCTTTGTAATATCATTGTACAAGTGCTTTATTCTCATTATTTTGGGGTAAACATAAATATTTTTGCTTATATTCGTGACTGAATTCATGGTATTTGACATTAAGTATATCGGTATTTCATTAATGAACTTGGAAGTGATTTAGGTATTGTAATTGAAATATTTATTTCAAAAATTTGATGTTGATTATAAATATTGCTAAGAAATAGAATGACCTTTCGTAGACAACGTGGTGTTTTTGATAATCAGTGGTTCTTCCAGATGCTTCTGAAATAAAAACACTAAATTATACGCCGTTCGGAGGTAGGATTTTCTATATAAAGCATAAGTAAAATTTTACAGTCATCAGTGGGGATTGGATACCTATCCGATGGTCGGCTCCAGAATCTATACTACATGGAAAGTATGATTCAAAAACAGATGTGTGGATGTTTGGTCATACTATACATGAGATGTTCACATACGGTTGTGAACCATATACAGAACTTTACAGTGAAAACACAGAGGAAGTGATCATAAGGGTAAACCTGTAACTACTAGTATAATAAAATTACTTTGGTTTATTGAATTATCTATATAATTATCATTATTTTTTATCTTATTGATTAAGTTGTTTGCTTTTACATCAGGTTGTTACGCGGAGGCTCAAGCCATACAAATGGAAATGCATACCACATTCATTTCACATTCTTTCAACAAAATGTTACGATATACATCCTGAAAAAAGACCACCCATGCACGTAGTTGAAAAACATATACAAACACTAAGAGACCAGTCGTGTCCGGGAAGCTTGGGTAAGTGTTCTTATATATATATATGGATTAAGCTTAATCTGTATGCAACAATCTCGCCCAGAATGTTATACAATCATATTCGAATTATTAGCTTCGGGGTGAACGAGCTTCGCCAGTATACAAAGAAACAAACACAAAATATCTTCCTACTTTGAATGAGACATTACAAATTTTTTTTATAACAGATATTGGTGGTAATTCTGTACCACATATCGGGGATAAACAACTCAAGAGGGAGCACAAACCAGAAAGAGTAGGTTTTTTGTAAAATAAACGTGAGGGAAAGTTTTACACTGTATTATAACATAACATGTAAATGATATATGACAAAAAACTCTTTGAAAAAAATCATAGCTATATGTTGATAAAAAATGAAAATACATGTATATCAATAGGGAATTCCAAATGTGGTCAACTTTCTTCGAGAAAAAACAACCGAAAACCCAGGTATGAATATTTTGTCTCTCGCATTAACGATTTTATGTTAAAAAAAAAAAAACTTTTGATAAGATAATGCCTCATCGTTTTCAAGTAGTTTAATAATAATAATACTTTTTTGGTCGTGAAATATATGCTCAGAAAAACAACAAAGGATCTGTGCAAAATCAACAATTTGGTAGTACATAATATTTCCATGGACAAAAACTTGGGTTTTTATTGGATTCGCCAAAAGCTTTTATAGTGAAAGGGAACTGATACCGTATTATAAACATCTAATTTAAGGCCCTAAAACCCAATTCATTGTTCAATAAACTTATTTAATTTAAGTATTGTAAGTTTTTTCATTTTGTAAAATTGTAAAATAATAGATAATTTTACATATGTCCATTGTCAGTGCACTATTTTCTCCTGCTTTTCAACAACAATTTTTCACTGCACTGCTATTCAATTTTATGAGATAAAAAGTTTCATTTTAATATATATATGCATCATGTTTTATGAGATTAGAAGAATTTGAGACCTGTTACAAAACTTTGAGGTCAAGTATCTACGGCAGAAACAAATCTTTGGAGTTCAATTTGCGAAAAGAAGACCTTGAGTCGAGAGAAGAATTTAAAATAACAAATGAGGTTAATTTTGTCTGAAACCCCTTTTCCAAAATATTGAAATGATTTGAATAAAATTATTCTTATAACACCATTAACATTTATTTATTTATTAATAGATAAATTGCATCATTGTTGAAGAACTAGTATCTGATACCTTTTTTAATCTAATGTTACCAAAATTAAGTGGAACGTTGGCTGAAAATTTGGGTTTAAAAGAATGTGCAGTAAAGAAAATTCGACGATGTTCATCAAGCACAGATGCAAAAATGATCATCGTAAGACGTTTTATTTTTATTCTCTATTTCATTTAGAATTGCATATCGATCAAATATGCTCAAATCTCTATGTTTTTATTGTTTATTTTTTATATATACATGTATATTTTAAAATTCTTTGTTCATTTTGTATTGCTTTTCTTTTCTCTACCATAGTTAAATGTTATCAAACATATCAAACATCAATATATGTTTGGCATTATTAGAAAGTATGAAAAAGAGCATTAATACATACAGACTTGGGAAGTCTACTTTATAGCTAGCAATATAATTTTTGTTTCAGCAATATACGTTTCCGTCAAGTTCCAACATTTTGTGTATAGCTGAAGAAATGTCAAAGAATTCAAAAGAGGAAAACGTAAACACTCTTTTGCGATTTTTATTTGCTGTTGTCAAGCATGTGAAACAAATCCACAGCAGGAAGTGGTTGATGGTAGACTTGATTGGCAAATATGTTTTTATTATTGACAAGCAAGAAATGCCAAAGGTATTTCAAAATTGTAATAGTACTACTAAAAGCACTAGTCAGCAATAATTTTTGTGAAAGAGAACAATTATATTAGATTAGTTTCCATGTATTTCTTGCTTTGATTTCTACTTCAGTAATATGGAATTTTTTTTTATTTTTGAGTTTAGGCACTTATGATTAGAATTGGTAGGATGCAAAGCTTGCCACAAGAATGTAATATCCAAGAATATAGCATTATAGTCAATCAGGATCTACAAGATATGCTTTATTGGTAAAACTGACCTCTTTCTGCTCCTAAGAATTGATAAAAAAACTTAATCTTAACTGAAAAAAAATTCCGTACTTTTTTAACATAAATCAATGTCATTGGAGTTAACTGAAGCAAAAGGCAATATTTCCTGAATCACTTGTCAACGTAAAATTAAGTAAAGCATTCATAAGTGATTTTTAAGGCTTCCCAAGGAAGTAATCGGGCACAACGAACTATCGTGTGGCAGTGATGTTTACACAATGGCAATGCTTTTCTATGAAGTTTTTTCCGTCCTCTCTGGTCGTGAACGTCTAGATTGTGTGCCATTTGGGAACAAACACAAATCCAAGGCAAGTGTAACAGATTCATATCTCAATAACTAGTACAGAAATTTAAAACTTCCGGATAGTCCACATTTATCTCCCTTGTAAAGACTTAATTATAATTACCGACCTCCCCTTATTTGTTAAATCATATGTCAACGTTTTTTCAATGTCTTAAAACAATTCGTCTCAAAGTGTTTTATTAACTTTTGATATATTTTGGGATTAAATATTTCAAGGTACCATATGATTCGTACGTTCATCATCTATAGAAAATGCTCATACATGAAAAATTCTTGTCTAACATATAAATGTTTGATATGCAGCTGTTAGAACATTTGAATGAGGGACAGGTTCCCGAAAAACCGGATCTATGTCCAAGCTGGTTGTATGATGAAGTAATGTTAAAATGCTGGGACCTCGACAGAACATGTCGTCCACATGTTGATGAGATAATTTCCTTATTTTCGAGCAAGTAAGTCGACAAAAAATAGCGATTTAAAATGATTTATGATTTTGAGAAAAATTTGATTATCATAAAAATTTCACTATAGAAGAAACTGCTTTACCATTTAAGGTTAGATTTATCTGATGCCCCATTGTCCTCGGCATCAGGGTCTATCAGCAGCTACAAGGGATTTGATGAGAGTAATTCAAACAGGGGTGATGGATACTTGGACGTAACACATTCCTCGGATAGTCCCCACACTCACAATGACTATCACAACCCACTAGAGGATGAGGAGGAACATTATGATCTCATCGATGAAAATCTTCTCCAAACTGTACATTTATAAGTCGTCAATTTTTACGAGAAAAAGAGATAAGGAAATTGTGAATGCGCAAATTAAACGTCGACGTAATGTGTTTTCCTTACATATGTTGGTTTTTATTGAAAAAGAGAAGCAAGTGACACAATTGATAATCGTTTGAATTTATGATATTAATTGCGTTTTCATTTAAAATATCTTTGATGCATATTCTGTATGTGTTTGTTTCCTTTACTTAATATTTATGATTTTGATGAGTATCCTAATTTTGTTTGTTTTGTTTTCAAATTCTTTCAAAATTTGAGGAGTGTTATGAAAGCAAAATATTTTTCTCAGGAATTAGACTATATGATTTTTTTAAAGTATACATGTTTTTTTTTGTTTTTTTTGTTTTTTTGCTTTTTTTTTAATATGTTTAATACACCGAATTCTATTAAATACTTTAAAAGAGAAAATATCATGCATCAATAGATTCAAGGCTTTTTTTATCATTAAAATTTTTTTCTCATTAGAATTTTATTATAATTTTTCAGTGTACATTCTTTTTTTAAATTAAAGAAAACATAAAAACATATCCGAATTGACCAGTACTAAATCACAAATGACAATGATTTAGAACGAAATCATTCAAATAGATCATTATTTACATGTACATCCTTCATAAAACTTGGATCTATTACACTCCAGACCATAAAAATATTGACCTGAAACACAGACAACCCTGTAATTAATAAAATTGTTGGAAAATTGTTCTGACTTTATTTTACAAAAAAGAAATCAGAGAATCATTTACTTTTAAAAGTTTTTCCATGCATGGAAGCAAAACATCCAACGTTGCAGTCTTGACATAATTCAGTGTAAACAGATACTTATTAATGCTGCCTGTTATATACATAACGCTTTTAAGTTTTAAATTATTTATCAGTTTTGATTTACACTTTGACGAGCTTAGAATTTGTGAAATGTTTTACTTTATATCAACAACTTATCTGGCAATAAGCATCTTCGTTTTAGAAATCGTCCATGCTTAGAATTTGCTTTTTCAAATCAACAGCATAAAGACACTAGTCTAATATATGCAGATGATACATGTTATAATCTATACTTATAAATTAGCAAATTTTGCAAATAAACTCTGAAACGGTGCACAAGAGTTCTTACTTAAGCCTGTAGGAATACACTAGGTATAAGGTGATGTCCTTAAACTATATTTAGATTTCACGCGCAAAGTTATTATCGTAAATTTAATTAAAAGTCTACTTTCATTTTCGAATAACAGCCTCGAAATAGCACTGAAGAGAGTAAAGTGGTGGCGGATCTAAGTAAGTGGCATTTTATAATAAAACTGACAACAAGCAAGCGCTTATTTATTTCATAAAACGTCATTAATGAATTATTCAATCAAAACTTGATTTAAGTGATATAAAAGAAATAAGCTGTGGTCATTGATTAAAAAACAAAATGTGTAAATTCTTTCCGTTTATGTCCGATCTCGCTATTTGTTGAAAGTTCTAGAAAGTCAGGTGTCATCGAACCCGATGTCTAAAAGAAAATCGAGGCGATTGTGTATCATGAATGGACATGAAAATAAATGTAAGAAATTGGTAGCACAATGAGTTTGTGAATATAGCTTAGTAAGTTGAGCTTTTTTTATATAAATAAATGTCGATTAATGGTCATGGTTATTTGTTTTGACATTTAAAATGGTGCAATTTAATTTTTAAATAATTTACCTAAATGATTTTCTACATACAGTCATTTATTTTTAAAACTTATTTATACCTTTTAGGCCTGTATGTACATTTGTGATGAAAACTAAGCTTTTTTCCAATATTTTAAAATGCTGTCAAATTTATAGTTAAATGTGCACATCCAATATCTAATCCGTGATGTAAGTATAATAAGCAATGATATAGCTCAAAATATATTATAATAAAGATTTTAACATGTAAAGAGAAAATAACAATGAGCACCTTCATATAGTACATGATGTATATCATAGTGCAACAGAATAATGTTGCTTTATAACATGTAAGAAGAAGAGGCCTTTAATGAAATTGATATTTGTAGAAGTAAAAAAAAATCCCAAAATATTAGGAAAATTAATGTATTTCTATAATTATCTATTTATGTTCCTACACTAATTGCGGGACTTTGAAGTATTTTGCCATGCAATATTCCTGTGTAATAAATTGTCAATAGAATCTGAAAGATAATTTTGGAATAGTTCTGTTAGCAGTAAAAAAAAATTAATTTCCCCCGCGCTTGCGAGGGATTTCAGCTAGTATATTAGATTGTAACACAAGTAAGGGAAATTGATAAATTTTAGAAAGAGGTGTCTAGAAAGGGACTCTACATGATGTTCACAAGGGAAAGAGGAAATTCATTTAGATAAGTGCAGGTACGTGCAGTGCAAGTTTTTATTTAAAATAGTTCGTTCAATTGAATCATTTCCTTACCTGTTTTATGACCCATGATGTTAATGCAGAGTCATTTAAATGTTATGACGTTCAAACAATAGTAAAAGGTGGCTATAGGTGAGTACTAGTATTTCTGTCTTTTCCGCCAAAACTGAGATTATTTGGTTCATAATATTACTATTATGAAAGAGGATGTTGCAGTTCTTTTGTTATTTCCCTAAATTTGTAGCAATTTAAAAGAAGAATTTTTATGTTGCAGAAACTCATATTATTTTTTTTCAAATGCAACAATATATAAAGCACAACGAGAAATTAACAGTATTTGGAAGGTGCGTATTGACTTCCAATTTGCCATTAAATGATGTGAAAATTAGTCTTACGGCAAAATATATCAGGTTTTCCCTTTTTTAAATAGGGAATTCCCATTGTCCTGAAAAAATGCCTCCTTGAAACAAAATAATTTTGATATCACAAAGAGGCAAGAATTTTCTTCAAAACTGTCATTTCCGATTTTTGTTTCAAAGAGGCACCCATGGTCTAGTGGATATGATGGTGGGATTCCAGTTAGTACTTTTACCGAGAATGGGTTCGAATCCTGGTATGGAACATAAAAAATTTAGTTATACGTACGTACGCATGCGAATTTTTGTAAACGGAAAGTATAGTAAATTAATTGTAAGGCATTGTATTTTTGATTTCTAATTTAGAAAAATCAAAGGTGAATTGAAATTCGTACTTATTCTAGTCATAAATATCATGGACAGTGGATAATTATCATAGGTATTGTCATCTCACTGCAGTGAAGCGCTTTAAATTTTTTGTATATCCCTACAGGACAAGCTTTTCTGCATCACTTAAAAAAATGGGGACAGTCTTGTTCAAATGGGTCATGGGTACAAAATAAACATGCTGCTTGGTATCAGTTTGACTTTTCATTGATTTATACAAAGACCTTGATGGATCATCGAATCATCTTTCATTAAAAAATTAAATAGTGCTCTTGCTTAAAATTGCTTAAAAATCAATTAACTGAATCAAGAAATAAAGAATTTAATCGATAACTTTACTCGTTTATGTCGTACGTGTAGACGTCTAAACGTTCTAAACTTGTAACTTCACGTCGGAATTGACGTCATGATGTCGAAGAACACAATTGATGACGTCATAATAATTATTTTTATGGATCCAGCTGTTTCCTGTGATAAATTTATATCTTATAGAGTTCGAATTTTGCTTTGAAATGAAAAATCGTATCTACATAATGATATAAAAGCAGAAACAGCTATGGATACTAAAGAGATTGCCATCTTCCTTCTATGTGTTAAAAGTATCGCAATCTTCTGTAAAGGTAATGCATGCACTTTTTCTGATGAGTTAATCTTAAAGCGAATTATGCAGAAACAACTTTGAATTTATTCAGCACTTATCTACAGTTTATTTATCCATGTTTTCCGAAGGAGCTGGACATGTTGGACTTCCTCCTGTGATAACGTCAGAGTTTGAACCGGAATATTTCTTTCCTCCAGTCCACTCTACCTCACTGAGTCTCCACTGCCAGGCGGAAAACGGAAATATCACGTTAAGACTCCACTTGGATTATTCCTTTGATAATACAAGAATCTGCGATTATTATAAACACCTTCTAACTTTTGAAACCCCTATATCTTTTCTGCATTCTACTCGTATCATACAACATTTGATGTATTTTTAAGGTATGAATGGTATAAAAGTTTTATGAAACTTGAAGATAACCAAACAGTTACCTCTTACTGGAATACAGGGGAAATTTTCTTCTCAAATCTCACAACTGAGGATTTCGGAATGTATTATTGTCTAGCAAACCAGAAGTCTCTGTCGAGACTGAAGCTCTACTGGTTTGTACTTATAGCAAAGGAAAAGAAAGGTTCTTAAGCAGTTGGGAACTGAAACTTTACCACAGCAATAAAAAGAATAATGATCCTTGATTAAGTCTCTTTATGTTCTTAGTGTAGTCTACTTGCATGCCACATTATATTATAATCAGACTTAAACTGTATTTCGAGTAGCATTTTGAGAGTTTTTAACAGAAATTTCTATTTTTAGTAACAATGGCAACACCGTTCATCGAAATCAAAAATAGAATTATGTATCTTAGTGTAGTGTACTTGTGTGCCAAGTTATATTGAAATCAGACCAAAACTGTAAGAGGAGTAGCATTTTGAAAGAATTTCACAGAAATTTCTATTTTTAGTAACAACAGCAACACTGTTCATTGAAATCAAAAACGAATAAACAGAATTATGTATCTTAGTGTAGTGTACTTGTGTGCCAAGTTATATTGAAATCAGACCAAAACTGTAAGAGGAGTAGCATTTTGAAAGAATTTCACAGAAATTTCTATTTTTAGTAACAACAGCAACACTGTTCATTGAAATCAAAAACGAATATACAGAATTATGTATCTTAGTGTAGTCTACTTGTGTGCCAAGTTATATTGAAATCGGACCAAAACTGTAAGAGAAGTAGCATTTTGAAAGAATTTCACAGAATTTTCTATTTTTAGTTACAACGGCAACACCGTTCATCGAAATCAAAAACCGATATAACGAATTATGTATCTTAGTGTAGTCTACATGTGTGCCAAGTTATATTGAAATCAGACTTAAACTGTAGGAGGAGTAGCATTTTGAAAGAATTTCACAGAAATTTCTATTTTTAGTAACAACGGCAACACCGTTCATCGAAATCAAAAACCGATAGACAGAAATACATGTATGTATCTTAGTGTAGTGTACTTGTGTACCAAGTTATATTGAAATCAGACCAAAACTGTAGGAGGAGTAGCATTTTGAAAGAATTTCACAGAAATTTCTATTTTTAGTAACAACGGCAACACCGTTCATCGAAATCAAACACCGATACACAGAAATATGTATCTTAGTGTAGTCTACTTGTGTGCCAAGTTATATTGAAATCAGACCAAAACTGTAGGAGGAGTAGCATTTTGAAAAATTGTTTACAGACAGACAGACAGACGGACAGAGAGGACGGACGGACGCATTACTATCGCATAAGCTCTTCTGGTCTCTGACCAGTAGAGCTAAAAATGAGTTTGGGGCTTCAGTTTCTGCTTTTGTCAAGATATCAGAAACAAGTGAGTGTATCAATTTTCAGTTATTTATATTTTTAAAAAGTCAATATATCCTGAAATATCATTAATTGGAAAGATTTAAAAAGTTTACATTTTTTACCTTTTAAATAAAGAAATTTAATTTATTTTCATGGTCTAATAGGTTTGTTTCATGATGTAGGTATAGATATAACTCGGAAAGAAAAATGTACACTTTTTAAAACTTCTTAAGAATACACCTATACATTTACAGAGTTACGAAATAGAAATCATACTGTAAATTAAGATAATTTTATATATATTTTTTACGATCATAATGCTTTTTTTCTTTCTGGTAGGAATTGATTCATTTCCATTTAAGAATGAAAGAAACGAAACATGTCAAGAATTTCATCACTGCAAACTTTCATGTTCTAACAAACCCATCTGTGTACCAACAAACAACTGTCGAATAGAATGGAAAAATGGGCCTGGAACGTTAAATAATGTGGATATAAGTGAAAACATGACGTTAGATAGAGAGGGTAATAAATACTTTGCACTATTGTCAGAAAAAAATTACTCAAACCTTCTGGATCAAATCTTCTGAAAGAAAATCCGTTGAAAACCTGTTAAATGTTTTATTGTTAGTTCTCCTTGATTTTCCTTTCTTTCTTATTTCTTTTCTAATTTTCCTTTTATTTTATAAAATAACGGCCAGGAAACCTTCATTTTCTAAACATCAACCTATCTTACGGAGCAAAAGATTATTACTGTGGTGTTTGGAATGACAACGAACAAATATTTCGGAAGGGAAATTTATTGAATCTTATTGTACAGGGTGAGTTATTAGTGATTTGTATCAGATATGTAATTCAAAACAACAACAGAAATCTGCAAATGCAGAAGAATTATAATAATTGTTAATATAACAGCAATACCTTTCGAATAAAACTAGTTGTTATACCTTCAAAAATTTGTTCCTATACAAATCTATACGAAAACGTCTAACATTTCTAATGTTTTGCTGAGCGGGCATAAAAAATCGATGTTTGACCGCTGAGTGAGATGTTGGACCGCTTACGTCACAAAATGGGCGGAACTTAATCTCATTTTCATTTGTTGGTGTTCAACAGTGTCAGATAGTACAAAATACATGTACATTTAAAAAAAGAATTAAATGAAAGGTTTAACAAAACATATTGACTTGAGTTCTCGGGCAAAATGCGTATTGTCGACCCTCGAACCAAACTGTTTGGTTCTTAGGTCCGACAAAACACATGTTGTCCTTGAACTCAGTCAATAAATGTATGATATTGTGAAGTACTGGATTTGCAAGTCGTCTGTATGAAGAAGCTGACAAACTTGTTTCTAGGAATGGATTAAGCATTTGAAAATCTTTGTACAAGTACACCACTCATGGATTTCCAAATTTCTTTTTAAATGTAAGGTTTATTTAAAGATGAATGAACGTTATCGGATATAGTTATAACCATGATAATCTTGTAGATTCTGCTGACAGTTTTGTTCCTCCTCGAGCTGTTTATCACAGTGGGTATAAAGCTTATCCTGGAGAGAATGCCACCCTGCAGTGTATTTTTTCTGGAAAGTAAATATTTGAAATTTTTAACTATAGACAAAAAACTGTTTGTTAATTTATGTACACTTTGCACAATTTTAAAGATGTGGTATAAGTGAGAAAAATTTGCTTCAGTTTTGTCAAGAATATATTTCATAATTAACGAATAGTACTAGTGTACTTCTGTCATAATTTTTTTAACTTTAAGTTGTATGATTTCCAAATTTGGTATCCTTGCCTTAACAATAAATTCACATTTAAATTTATATTATTCTAAAATATTTCTTACAATATTTAAAATGTATTCAAAAATGGTAAGAACGGAAATGCCATCACGGAGCGGATCCAAAATAAGTGATTTACATATTTTTATGCATGTATTCATATCTCTGTTAATTGACACAAAACTTTTTTTTTTTTTAAATCTACATTATTATTACGTTCTGAATTTAGATTTCTTAATGCAACATATAAAAAACCAACACTGTCCATGAAGTTTGCGAAGTATTCCTCGTACATATGCAATATTCCTAGTGGTCAAAATAGGTCTCCAAACAGCATTTCAATGATTTTGCTTAATATTTCATGAACTAAAAAGTTTAAATTAAATGTTGCAATCTTCAGAATCACGATAACTTTGGCAAAAGTGTTTCATGCAATTTTAAAATACAAAGAATGTAAATCCAATTTGAAGTTTTAGAAGTAACATATATATCTCAGCACCAAAAAAAAATATCGGAATAAGATGTTTTATTGTCATAAACATCATGGTCAATGGTGGTAGCTGTATATATCGTATATAGAGAATAATACATACTACCTTTTACATACTGGATATCATATGGAAAAGTATTATGTATTATTATGTTTATTACATAATAAGAAACATTATTTAGTGTGAACAAAATCATATACGTGTGAATTACCATTGTTACTGTTTTTTTAATATAAGGATGATATGGCAATTGTTGCGTAAAACATGGCATATGAATGCAAAAAATTATTTATAACTAAACATGTAATGAATTTTCTAAGTCCGGTTTTGGAAGTAACATGGCAGACTAGAAATGGATCTCACATCGTAGAGAATCATAGATACAGTATCCGTCATGGTGGAAAAGAGCTTCACATAAGGAATGCAACATTTAAAGATGATGAGGTTTATAAATGTGTATCTAATGACAACATACAAAATCCATATCTTAATGTCACAGGTAAGTAAAAGCTGTTCCATGTAAGTCATGCACAAGAATTTTGAGAGCATATTTTTAAAGATAATTATGTGTATATCAAAGTTGTGTGTATGGGGGTTTTTTGTTTTATTTTTGTTTGTTTGTGTGTTTAAATACAGTACCAATTATTTCATAGAGTTCACAAACGTAGTTTTGAAGACGTTTATACATGTACGTATATACCATAATTGTGGGTTTTTTTTCGTTTAATTTCTATCCATAGCCTACCCATTTTTTCCTAGCGTTCACAAACGTTTTATGATGAAAATCGACAAATTTACAATAAACAGGAGTACGGAAATAATGTGCAATGCAATATCTGCACCAGATGAAATGGAACCAGTTGTGATCATGTGGATGAAAAATGGAAAGAAATTAAATCAAGGTTTTTAATTACTCTAAATATTCTAGTATCAATCACTGAACTATTGTTTTACTGAAAAGAAATTTTTTAAAAAATGACAAAAAGCAAAGTCATTAGCATTATTGGGGAAGCATATGCACGAATATAACTTGCTTAGGAATGTCTGTTCGGATATAAATAAAGATGACTTTTTTTCAATAGTTCAAAAAAATAAAATCGGTATAACAAATCACTAGCTCTTAATTATCAGGATCCTGAAGTTTTAAAACTTATTTACCTGACAATTATGATACTGGAATTTATTAGAGGACACATGATGCTATTCAGAAACTATAAAATCAGTCAAAATGATCACAATGTCTTTCATAGTAAAATTTGGATTTTGCATGGTTTTCTCGTAGACACGCACTTTAAAAAACACTTAATGGGATCTGTATATAGCTTCCCATCCTCAATTACACATGACTAACATTATCTAATAATTATCACATTTAAATTGTTTTGAGACGTCTATATTGAATACCGTGCACACGTTTAATTGTATGATGGTATGTTCAGGAAGATTTTTTATGCAATAGCCCATATTTTGATATACTTGTTTTGGCTTACTTTCTTAACTTCATGTTACATGCATGTGTATTGATAAAAATTAGAAAATTAGTATAGATGGGAATGTAAAAAGAAAGTACTTTGCTCATGAATTATAATAATTTCATGTGGGTTTTTTCCTTCAATTTTTGATATTCAAGCGGACGGTTAATAAAAAAAAATTAATTTGAATTCTTGGCTTTCTCCTTTTCCAACATCAGGGTCCGCCGTTATAAACCTTTGAGAATTCTCATAAAAATTCTCAACTCAAGTCTTGAGAATTACTCGCCTGAGAATTTTACAATCAAACAGAGTTTAAGGAATTTTTCTCAACTTTTTTATGACGGCCGCTGAGTCTGAGAATTTTGGATTTGAGAAAGTTCTTAGACTTGAGAGCATTCTCAGACTTAAGTATGTTTTATAACGGTGGACCCAGGTTGATTTTTACAATTTTCAAATAATTTTTAGAATCTCGTTATCAACTCTCAGACGATAAAAAGAAATTACACATTTACAAAACAAAGTTAGAAGACGCCGGATGTTATACATGTGTTGTAGAAAATAGTGAAGGAACTGCAGTAGCCAATTTTTTACTACACGATAGTTATACAGGTATAAAGAAATTCATTTCTAATATTGCTGAAATGTTGCCGACTCGGCGTAAAACAGCAAAAATCAATCAATCTAAATTCAAATGGCATTCATAAATCAAACTTTTGCATGATTGAAAGAAGTTTATAAGCATACAAAAAGTAAGCAATTGCTAATATTCCTAATTTGATCATGTTATTTATGATGATTTATTTGAAGAAGTACTTGAAATAAAAACATGAAATATATTAAAAACTTAATTTTATGTAGTTCCGTCACCTGACCAAATGCCACGTAAGTAGACTCTAAATATGGATATGTATCGGGTTCTCTAATAGGTTAACAGGTTTTTAAATAACTTTTAAGTTTCCGCATTTATGTATATTCTTGTGTTAAGGATATACGCAACGTAGTTTAAACTTTTTTATCTTTTTCCAACAAGTCGACGAGTTTCAATTGCCGTAAAGGAACCGTGTATTATATTTTAATGTCTATATATGGTCTTGCACACGTCTTCTAAAATAATTTTGGAAAAAAGAAACATGTAGAATATGTGTTTTATATTTTTATATACAGTGTATTTGTCTTTGAGTCATCCGAGAATTCTCGTCATTTGATATATATCAAAAACCCATTGTATTGTATGCTGATTTTTTTGTATGTGAACATCTAATGACACTTTAATCTTAATATATGAATATCTTAAAAAATCCTTTGTAAGTAAAGTACGTTGCTTATGTCATAAAGCGCAATTGCTCTTAGATCCTCAAAAATTTCGTTAGGTACTAGTATTACAATAATGTATTAAATAAATCCGCAGTTTCGTGTCTTTAAAGTTAGAATTTTTAGCTGCACCTGAGCCGAAGGCTCAAGTGAGCTTTTCTGATCAAAAGTCCGTTCTCTGTCGTCATTGTCGGCGTCGTTGTTGTCGTCGTTAACTTTTTACATTTTAATCTTCTCAAGAACCACTGGGCCAATTTCCACCAAACTTGCCACAATGTATCATTGGGTGAAGGGGATTCAAGTTTCTTCAAATCAAGGGCCAAGTCCTCTTCCAAGGGGAGATAATCATGAATAAGTTAAAAATTGATGGTATTCTTTAAATTCTTCTTCTCAAGAACCACTGGGTCAGAAAAAATGAAACTTATGTGGAAGCATTCTCAGATTCAAGTTCGTTCAAATCATAACCCCAAGGGGTATGGTGGGGCCACAATGGGTGATCAAAGTTTTATGAAGGAAAACGTAGGAAATATCTTTATTCAAATCAATAGCCCAGAGGGTTTGGTTGTGCCACAATGGGGTATCAAATTTTAACATAGCAAAACATAATAAAATTCGTTAAAATCTTCCTCTCAATAATAGCATAGTCATAGTTATATAAGAGCATCCTCGGGTTGTGTAAATTCAAATTGTTCAAATCATGACCCCCAGGGGTCGGGGTGGGGTACAATGGGGTACCACAGTTTTAGATAGGAAAACAGGAAAAAATCTTCTTCTCGAGGACAACAAAACTGTAATTGTTTTATTCATATGGGAGTATTCTCAGGTAGTGTAGATTCAAGTTTGTTCAAATCATGACAAATAACCCCCCTTCTGAACCCACTTTTATTTTTAAAGTGTTCAATACTGAACTGATCTTTGCTATTACCTAGCTAGTTGCTCAGGTGAGCGATGTGGCCCCTGGGCCTCTTGTCTTTATAGTAATCATATGAACAGATTCATTTGTTGAAATATAGTTGTTCTTTCTCAAATGTGAACTTTTGATTTGTTGACATTTATTTCAGGTAGACCTCTGATAATCAAAATATTACCTCTAATTTGTATAGCTGCGATATTCTTATTGATTGCATCTATGATCAGCACAAAGAAGTAAGTGTCAAAAAATTTTTGTTTATAATATGACAGTTAAGTGATTTAACAAAACTTAGACCAATAGTTTATCCTATAAGACTTTCAGAATTCGACAGATTACAAAAAACAAACAACGACTACACGTAGAAAGAGAAGGTGATGGAAGATTTTCGGGCGCAATAGTTAATGTGTATAGTGAGCCTGATCCAGAAAATCAAGACCATTTACACATTGAACGTGTAAGTGACTTGAACGCAAGTTCAGAAGGAGATTTATGGTCTGAAGTTGTTGATACTGAAAACATCTATGACATTTTAGGAGATTTTTCTGCAGTGGTTGCTGACTCTTCCGAACTACGCTCCTATGATTGTATGGAAAATATCCAGGGGATTTATAATACGAGTTACAGAGCAAATGTTCAAACATTCAAAGACGCAATCAAAGGACCTGAAACAATGGGACAAAGAGAGAGTGTTGAAATTTCAAGAAATTCTTTCCCCATGATGACTGGTGAAAACATTTCAGAATGTAGAATTCTTGTTAACTCCGAAGAATATTGCGAAATCAACTTCAATGAAAAAGACTTATTTGATGACGAATCGAACGACACATTAAAAGTGGCCGCGTCAGAAACAAATAATAAATCGGATGATGCGTTGGATAAAACAGAGGGTATTTCGTCACAAAATTCCGAATCATATGGTTGTAATTAATAGGAAAAAAATTTCAAAGGAATCTACCAAATTTGTATCACCATTGTTAAATACTGTAAAAATACAAAGAGAACTTTCGTCATCCAGACATGAACATCGAAATACGGTTATACAGAAACCGTCCATGATAACTACCAGTTCTAGAGAAAGAATTGACACACTGTATAGAAACGAAAAGGAAATTGTATTGGCATCTTTGAAATCATTTCATGATTACATGTAACTCCGCCTGAGTTCACGGATAAAATCTTCATGATAGATTTCATGCCACCATGGTGCTACCATTCATTTGTGACTTTTCTTTTACATTTATCTCTATATGCGTCTTGAACGCAACATATTGTTATGATTTCTTAACATAAAGAATTTTTAATGCATGTTATATACTTGGTATCTAAAAATGAAAATAAAATTTCAGCATAAAAGTTAATGCAATAAAATATTTAAAAAGGAGAGACACGTTTTATTGCTGTAAATAATGTATCGGGTAAAAATTCTTGTGGTTTTTACTCAGTATTTAGAATTATGGTACGACCGTTTACACTCATGCGATGAAATATATGGAGTGAAACATATGGAGATAACGAACAGTATTCAAGATCAAAAGTCCGTAAAACAATACAAAGTAGGAGCAGAGCAAAAACGGACCTCCGAAACATCAGAGGTGGGATCAGGTGCCATGGAGGAGTGAGATTAGATGGGTGACATATGAGTACAGGCTGAATTAGTGTTTCAATTCTTTTGATTGCATTCAATGAAATCAAATATAATACTTGCGAGAAAAACAAACCTCGCACATCATTAAGTCAAAGAGACTATTGAAAATTTCTTTTTCGTTGTGCTTAATTATTTTCCGCTTTGATGAGTTATTTCCGCGAAGAACGCGGAAAGAATTCACAATGCATGCTTTTCGAGAAATATTTTCATTTTCATCGATAAAAATTGATGGAATGGTGATGAAAAATATCGTATTCGCCTATTTTTTGGTTCTCAAAGAAACCGTCTACCTAGGTATTTTCTTTGTAAATCTAACATATTAATATTTTTTCTCAAATTAAGAAACATATTTTTTGCAATTTATGATGAGAATTATTTTAAGTTACAGGTATACCGAGTATTGATATTCTTCCTGTTATAAGCTCGGAGTTTCAACTGGAATATTATTTACCAATTCCTCATTTAACTCCACTAACCATCCTTTGCCAGGTTGAAAATGGATATGCAACGTAAGTAACAATCCAGTATCAGTATAGTTTTTGAGAACCAAGTTTTATTCTCGCACTCTGTTGGGATTTAAGTAGACACTATTTGTGCTCCTTTAAGAGCTGGTCAGTTGATATATTCATATAAAAGGTGGTGATATCGAACGAAGATCAAAAATAAAAAATAAACAAACAATAAAAAAAATTGTAAACAGGGGATAAAACACCGACCCTTGAAATCTCAGTGGTGAGATCAGGTGCAAGAGGGAGTGAGCAACCCATCGTAAACTCTTTGTGTTAGACAGTAGACAGATTATGCTGTAGCCAAATTCAGAAAAAAGACCGAACAATAAGATTGAAAGAATTAAGACAAAAAACGAACCGTTTTTGGATTAAATTTGCTAGCAAAGTCATTGAAACGAGCATAGAATAGGTTTTAAACGACGTAGTTAAGATCCATTAACATACATTTATCGGTCAGTAGCCTGCGTCGTATACATGTAAGACAAATTATACTCAGGGATTGCTCTTTTGTATTCAAAAAGTTGGAAAACATAAACACCATATACAGCATCTTTAAGATTATTACCAGTACTTAATAAAAAAAAAATGGGGGGGGGGGAAATAATGACTTAAGGACATACGCAAGGTACCTTACCTACTGATAACTTTTCAAGATATTCTAAATGTAAACTTATGATACCATTACATGTTCTTAGACAAAAAAAATCAGCATGTGTTACCAGGGGTTTTCAAAAAAGATATCAAATTCTGAAATTTTTTGCATTTTTCAAAGAACAGTGTACAAAAATTACAAAACATAAATTCCAGAATTTTTTATTTCATCAAAATTGTCATAGAAGAGAAGTACAAATCCATGTATAGACATTAAAAGTATTGCACACAGGTCCTTTATTTAGTGGAACTCTTCAACTCCAGAGAAGAACCCAGTAAAGTTCAAACTACGTTGCGTATGACCTTAATGCACTACTTTATATACCACGTTGATGGTGGAAAAGAGATTTCACTTGAGAAATTTCTGTTTACCATACATTTAAATTGTTGGTTGATTTAACTCGTCAGTTAAACATCCAGATATGACATATATTTGGCAAACTCTGAGATATGACCTTTAAGTCAAGATTTAGATATATCATCGACATTTCATCATTTTACAAGTTACTTTCTTTCACAAGTCGGCTAGACGTATGTTACAACGCACTTTGAAAAATTGCGCAGTTTGAAAAAAAAATTCAAAGTGCGTTAAATTTGCGACCAAATCAACGCACTTTGAAAAAATAAAATTTCTTTGCAAAGTGCGTTAATATCGACCATATTAACGCACTTTGAAAAAAAATTTGTATGGCTTGGTCAGTATTCTTGCAAATCTTGGGTATGATAAATAATTGAACCTGTTTGATAACTCTTTGGTGATGGGATCATTTCAGGATGTGAAAGTGAGCGATTTTGATTTTTCCATACTTTGAAAATTTTATCTCTCTCAAATGATTTTCTTCTTAAATTTTGCAGTTTGCATGCATTTTATATGTAAACTAAAATTTATTTGAAAGTTTTTAGCGTCATACCAGTTATGCAAAAAAATATTTTTGGGTGTAGCTTAAGCATCGGTACCGGGAAGGGGGTCTTGGGAACTCAAATGTTTTGCAAAAATATATAGGCATTGAAAATCGGGGCTTGCCTTTGAGGGGGGTGTCCACTTTCAATCTGCTACCGACGATTATGTACAATTAAAAATATATTATATATTATATATTATTATATTATATTAAAAAAAAAGAGTGGGGCTGCGAGACCTTCTACTCGCCTTTTTCTTGTTCCCAATGAGGTTAAATGAATACATGTAAATTAAATTTTTTTTCGAAAGATATAATTAATAAATGCATGTTGATTCTCTGAATTACTAAAATCTAAGTATAGAGATTTTTTTGTTTTATACATACTTTTTTCAAAGTGCGTTATATGATCCAAGGTAAAAAAAATGTTCATGTACAATCTAAACGCACTTTAAAATATTTTTTCAAAGTGCGTTGAGTGTATCCCAAATTAATGCACTTTAAAAAAATTTTTCAAAGTGCGTTGCCACAGGCGTATCTCTTTGATGAACTCAAATGAGACACTATAGACTCAGCCGCATCATATTTCGATATTTTATTGACAAAGCTACTGACAATTAAATTGGTGTCATAAGGACTTCAACATTTCAGATAAAATCATTTTTTTTTCAAAAATCTATAGTAAATACAATTTCATTGATAGATTTTATGTTGTTTATGGTCCCTCTCGAAAATACGATGACATGGTTCAACCTATTGTTTAGTCGCATTTTGTCAGTCACATTACTTAACATTTTTGTCATTGCTTTTTATGTTAAATTTGACTCCATCTATCTGATAAATACATTGTACTCACAACTGGTAAAGCGATGCTTACTCCTCCTGATGTTTTCCTCTGGGTTTTTTCGGGGGTCCATTGTTTTAAGCCTTAATTTGTTAACATAATTTATCATCGATTACTGTTCGTTTTTCACCTTTTATTTTCCTTTTAATAGACTTTAGTATGATTGTGCATTTTTATTTGTTTCCTCATTTGTTTAATTTCTTCTAATGTATTGAATTTAACGAAATTAAAAGCTTTGAGTGGTACAAAAGTTATTTACAACTTGAAAACAATCGACGGGTGACGTTTAATCAATATACTGGGGAAATCACATTCAGAAATATCACGAAAGAGGACCTAGGAATATATCACTGCTTAGCCAAGAACGAATTCGGAGCTTCGTTATCTCCCTTTTTCAAGATATTAGAAACAGGTAAGCTATTTATACTTCTAAAAAATCGAGAAACGATCTCAAATATAGAAGCCAGAGCAAAAAGTAAGAAAGTATCGCATTGCCTGTTTCTCGGGCAAAATGCATTGTGTTAACCCTTCGATCCATGCTATTTGCATAATGCCTGAAAATATGGTTTTTAAGTTATACAAAAAGCGTGTTTTCCTCCAACTCAGTCAATGAGTGTATAATTTAGCGTATTATTTTTTAAACTTTTATTATCATATATTCAGGATACATAAAATAAAAAGGTACAGAAATTTATTTTTCTAACATCCCTTAATGAAAATTCTTATCCTTATTCAGTTTAAGGTTAAGGCAAACAGAAACATATAACAATTAGCATTACAATAAATTGACCTTTAATTACAGTTAGATAGTCCTTAGTGACAAAGACATTGTGATACAAAGTTTGTGTCTGTTTGTTGATGCCAATTAAGTCCAATAGTTTGTTCTCTACTGTTGTGTGTTAAACATTCATTTTAAAAAATATATGGTTTTTTTTATGTGGTTAGAGATATACTTTATTAATGTGAATTCATCATACATAACAAAGAAATCAGAATTACCTAGAATTTATAGTGACTTTATATATAATATATATACTTAATATATACACTTTATCCTACCTCTGGAATTTTCAGGGGTCTGTGTTTTATGACCATATTGGTATTTAGTGGCGGATCCAGAAATTTTGAAAGGGGGGGGCGACCATTTTAGGTCAGGGTAGGGGCCTACAGCAACACCAAAAATACATTGATTTATCAAATATTATGTATTTTTTGGACACAAAAGGGGGGGGGGGGGGGCAGGCCCCCCTCTAAATCCGCCTGTGGTATTGCTTTCTTTTAGCTTGATCAGACTACATTATCTTTATCTTTTATATTTTAGTGACTATATATAAATAGTTACGTAATTATGTATTTATTTTTTTTGCAACTGAAAGCATTAATGACTTTATGTAAACATAACTTGTAGACCTTTATTCATTATCATCTCATGGACCAGAAGAGATTAACCAAACTTGTGAAGAATTCCATCATTGCAACCTTACTTGCTTTGATAAACCACAATGTCAGCCGAAACATGAATGTAAGGTACAATGGACGATAGGAAGTGGGACATCCAATGTGGTGAAAATGAATGAAAATGTAACGCTAGATAGTGAAGGTAATAAATGTAATAGTTTAATGGTATAATATTATGTTTTACTTAAAAGTATTTTTGACAAATAAAACTCAAATGCTGCAAGATGTACGGTTTTAGTATCAACTGGGGAAAAATATAGACATGGTTGAGGCCTATTTTAAGACCAAAAAAATTAAAACAAGAAAGGAATATCACCGGTGTAGCATTGTTGTGTAATTTTCAAAACACCAAAAATATCGAATCAAAGTTAATTTTAGACAATAATTCGAAACTTGTACAAAAGAAAGGTAACGGTTCACGTATATCTTTTACAGGAAATCTTCATTTTTTAAACGTCAAAAAAATAAATGCAGCAAATGATTATGGTTGTGGAGTATGGAATGAAAGATTGAGAAGACTACTGAAGGGCAGCCCAATAAACCTACATGTAATCGAGAAAGGTAGCTAACTTGTATATATATATATTTTTTTTTTCTTATCAACCCATTTAATGTTTAGCAGTTGGTTAATCCTTATATTAAGAAATTTAATATATTTTTTGAATATTTATTGATATGTTGTAGATGTTTATGAAAAAGTTTCTTCTCGTGCCGTTTATCGCAGCATCTACAAAGCCTTTATTGGAGAAAATGCCAAACTTCAATGTCTTTTCTCTGGAATGTAATTTTATTTTGTTTTCTCGCAATACTTTTTTTTTGCTGTTATTTTTAATATTTAATAGTGTTGAGAGATTTTGAGATTTTTGAATTGAATTATGAACGGTAATCAGGTTAGTATTTGATATAAAGTTAATATCTTCTTTGAAGTCCTGTACCAGAGATAAAATGGCAGAATATAAATGGATCGTTTATCAGAAACAATCATAAATATAGTATTGGGCAGTTTGGGAGAGAACTTCAAATATTTAATGTTACCTTTGATGATGACGGTGTTTACACCTGCGTCACAAGAAACAACCTTACACTAAATCCGATGCTTAATGTCACATGTAAGTTTCAATTTATTTATCTTTTATAACTTCTTTTGTATTTTACATAAAAGAACAGCATTTACTTGCTTTAATTTTTTTTATTAAAAAAAAATAGCCACTCCGTTATTCCCCGATGTACACAGGAATTTTGTGACGAAGATAGTAAATTTTCGGACTAGAAATGACATCAAACTATTATGCAATGCTGCATCTGCGCCAAGCGAGCTTGATCCTATTGTAGACAGGTGGATGAAGAATGGAAAGGAAATAAAACAAGGTTTTAGCAATGCATTTTTTTCATAAAAGGATGTACATTTGTGTTTTTTATCTCTTTAGTCATAACAAATTTAAATTCTAAAATTAACAATCTGATAATTAAAAAATATAACCCTCAATATATGTGTATGAATGTTTTATAGTTTAACTTAATGTTAATTATCTCAATGTGATGTTATTTTATTACAAGAGACACATTTTATTGAAAAAAATGAACATAAATATAATGCCGGATGGCATGGGAACATCTTTCATTCATACAACGATTCGTCACATAGTAAAGGCGTCTCAATACTTTTTAAGAAGAATATAAATATCGAAATATTAAATGTTAAAAAATCAATTGATGGTAGAAAAATGTTGTTAAATGTTGAATATGATAATGAAATTTTTACAATTGTAAATATATATGCACCTAACGACATAAACAAAAGAGTTGATTTTTTCAAAAGAGTGCATACATTTATTACCAAAAATTGTTTAAATGAAAACATAATTCTATGTGGAGATTTTAACTGTCGACTTAATGACAAACAAGATAAAAGTAAAGATTATCTGATTAATATATTAAAACAACTTAATATGGTAGATGTCTGGAATAGAGAACATCCTGATTTGAAAGGCGAAACGTGGTGTAATGCTCAAGATATCCCTTTTAGTAGAATAGACTATATTTTTATGAATAATAATTTCTGTTTTCAAGTAGGTAATATTATAGTGAGAAAGTTACCGGGTACTCATTCCCGAGGCACAAGAATGAGTGATCATAGATATTTAAAAATGTATCGTAATATCTCTAAAAATTCAAGAGGTCCGAATTATTGGAAATTAAATATTTCATATTTAGTTAATGAAGTAGATAATGTACAAAATCCGATCGACAAATGGGAACTTTTTAAACGTAAAGTTAAAGAATTTTCAATACTTTTCGCAAAAAATAAACGAAAGAATATGAGAGAAAAAATAAACCTAATTGAAAAAGAGATAGAAAATATAGAAAGTAGCCAGTATAACAATATTAATCATAGTAAACTTAAGTAGCCAGTATAACAATATTAATAATAGTAAACTTAAGGCACTTTATACAAATTTAAATGAACTATATGATAAAAAAAAATAAAAGGGGCGCAAATAAGATCAAAAGCAAAATGGATAGAGAGTGGCGAAAAAACTACAAAATATTTCTTAAATCTGGAAAAACAAAATCAAACGTCTAATTTTAAGAACTTAAATCACCTACTGGCGATTTAATAAATACAACAAATTCATTAATCGGAGAAATGAATAATTATTATACGAATCTGTTTAAAACTACAAATATTTCAACCGCTAAGATTTCAAGTTATCTAAGCAAAATTGAAGTACCAATGCTGAACGAGAAGGACAAATTAATATTAGATGAATTCCCTACACTTGAAGAATGCAAAAATGCCGTATTTGAAATGAAAGGAGAAAAGTCTCTTGGCTTAGATGGTATACCATGTGAATTCTACCAATGTTTTTGGAACATTATTGGGCCAATTTTTTATGACGCACTCAAAGAAATTTTTAAACAAAAAGAAATGTCTGAATTTCAAAAGCTGTCTGTGATATCTTTAATACACAAGAAAGGCGAAAAACAATTGTTAAAAAATCATAGACCAATTAGCTTAACAAACACGGATTATAAAATCATAGCTTGTGTTTTAGCTAAAAGGTTACAAAATATATTATCATTTACAATCAATAAAAATTATACGGCTTATGTTAAAGGCAGATACATTGGTGAAAATGCTCGATTAATCTTAGATATTTTTGATTATTGTAATTCAGAGAAGAAAGATGGCATATTATTTTTTCTCGACTTTGAAAAAGCTTTCGATTCTGTAGAATGGAACTTTCTTCTTGAAACGTTAAAAAAATTTAATATTGGCGATCAATTTATTACATGGGTAAAGATATTATATAAAAACCCTAAATTCAAAATGAAAAATAACGGATGGTTATCTAAAACATATAGTATGACAAGAGGGATCCGACAGGGATGTCCAATATCAGCTTTACTTTACTAATTTGTAGCTGAAATTTTTGCCATTAAAATAAAAAACGAACCAAATATATCAGGAATTAGTATAAATGATAAAGAAATTATTAATATACAACATGCAGATGACCTAACAGTTGCTCTGAATGACAAGAAATCTCTCGATTTTTGTCTGAAAATTATTAACGAGTTTTGCGATCACGCCGGATCAAAAATCAACATAAACAAGACGGAATGTATCCTGATAAGGCCCTGTCACACAAAGCCGCGTCCCCACGGAGTTATAACGGCGTTGTTAAAATTTGAAAATCGCTGTGGAATCGCAATGAAACTTCACAAATTTTTGTCAAATTTTCAGAATGAGAAGATGTCACGGAGTCCTTACGGCGACTGGCGCGTTTCTACGGCGTTCTCGCGGCGAGCTACTGCGATCTCACGGAGATCTCGAAGCGATTTATTGCGCTTCCACGGCGTTTTCACGGCATTCAAGGAGTTGTCACCTCGTGTGTACGGCGTTCACAATGCGTTCTTCACCTTGCTATATATACAGAAGCAATACAAGCATCGCCATTCATTTGCCTTTCACCATGACAAGAAAAAGGAACACAAAATCTAAGAGAGGGGCAAAAAATAGTCCTCGGACATTAGATTCAAATCCTACAGATTTAGAACCAGAGCAAAATCCAATGCCAACAAATTTGAATCAAGAATCACAACCTCATCCAGAGCGCGAGAAATCACCTTGTTCGATTTCCTCTAGAGCAAGTAGTCCATCAAACCCTTCAACCTCAGACAGTCTTCCAATACAGCCACAGAAAAGATCTAAGACTGATCTCACTGATGAACAAGAGGATGAAATGGCTTCTTGGCTTGAGGCAAACGAAATTTTGTACAACAAAAAGCTGAATGCCTACAAGGATTTCAAAAAGAAAGACACTCTTTGGGAATCCAAAGCAGCTAGTCTTGGCGAGGACGTTGAAACTTTGAAGTTCTGGTACCGGTCCATCCGTACCCGGTATACCCGCCTCCTACATAGAAAATCGGGTGATGGTGCAATTGAGCTAACAGAAAGAGACCGCTGGATTCTTCAAAATTTTGCCTGGCTGAAGGTTCATATCTTTGAAATCAAGAAGAAAACTACAGTCAGTGTAAGTACAAAAAACCCTTTCATTTTAATGTAGACCTCTTTTACATTTTAGTGTTCATAAAGTTCCCAACTTGTGATCTACGTTTCTTATGTTTTGTGCTTTTACAGATGAAAGAGAAGATAGCTTCCACTAAATCCACAGAGGATGATAGTAATTTAGAGAAACAATTTGAAACAGAAACTGACACTATCTCTCATCAGCAGCTGGAGCCTTCATCATCAGTATCGTCCAAAAAGAAAGCGATTCAAGAGGAAGAGCGATTGCTCAGCAATATTGCAAACAGAGGTGAACAGTCCATGGCTTTTCAGACGAAAGTATTGGAGATGCTGGCTCCTCCAAAGGCTACGGAGAGAACGGCATTCGCTGACTGGACAAAGGAAGTAATGATAAATCTGCATCCGTCACTGTGGAGTTCCAAAGGGAATGCTCCAACCTATTGTACACATACCAAGAAAAGAGTGAAGAGCTCCTCAATCCAGTTGTTCATCAACAGCCATATTCTGCTCATCAACTGCCATTTTCGCCAGCACAGCAGCAGTTCCATTCCTTTTCGCGGCCTTCTCCTTGTACTGGATCGACTAGCGCACTTTGGCAGCCTCCGCCTCCTCAGAGGCCTACAACGGTCCAACGGAATATGTCTGTTTGGGGATCGCAAAGTCCTGCTTGGGTACAGGCACAGATGACTGAGCTACAGCCCACAACAGTGGTGACCCAAGGGCTTTCTAACATAGCCACTACCAGCGCCCCAAATCAATCTGGAGAACAGTCAGTAAACTTAACTAGCCTGGTCAATAGCAGTCTGGAAATGTGCAACTCCCCTCTTAACAGAGTTTCCGGACCATATGATGAGTGTAGGGATGGGGAAGGACAGTAAACAATTTAGGGTTATTCGATACACAAGAAAAGTATGAACTGTAACTCTTTTTGTTTCCTCTTTTACTGTTACTCGTGAAACACAGGAAGTGTGAACTATGTTCTTCTTATTTTGTGATTTTTTTTCTGAACCGTTTTACAGTGTACATGTACACAGATGGGAGTGGTGAACTTTATTTTCTACATTTATAGGTAAATAAATGGTTTCAACATTGTTTTTGTCTCTTTGCTTATTCTAATGAAAAGTGGGTAAACATGAAATTTCATAAAATGCAAATAAACAATATGAAATTGATGAACATTCATAAAAATCATACTTAAGTAAATCGATTCATAAACACACATACAAAATTAAACTTCTTACCTATTTTCTAATGTTATTCATATCTTGGAAGAATTCAAATCATACGATCCTGCCAAGGCACAGAACCAGCTGTGGAGTTGAAATACAACTTCAGATACTCCCGCAGTTTCTTTGCTGCTGTGCTATCTCGATTGGGGCCCACAGCATTCTCCACATCATGCATATTTGTCGTGTCCCGCCATGAACCAGGGATTATTTGGTGGTCTGCGTTTTCTACGTCTATGTCAGCGTTTTGGAGTGCAGGGTAGTGCATACGCATTAAATTGTGAAGAATGACACATGTTTCGACAATTATAGCGATTGTTTCGGGTTCTTGTTGCATTGTTGTCAGTAGAATCTGCCAGCGCTGCGCCATGATTCCAAACGCATTCTCAACAATACGTCGACTCCTCGACACTCGGTAATTAAAAATCCTTTGCTCTTGTGTCATTTGGCGCTGTGAATATGGCTTCATGAGGTATGTGCGAAGCCCGAAAGCATTGTCACCCAGAATGAAGTACGGTGTTGGTATGTCTTCATTCGGAAGTGGGTCTGCAACAGGAAATCCAATGCTGTTGTCCTCTAAACACTCCTTCAGCTCGGACGCGTTAAAAATCTGAGAATCGGACATGTGTCCATATCCACCTACATCAATCCACAAGAATTTATAGTCTACATCAACATGGCCCATGAGCACGATTGAGAAAAAACCTTTATAGATGTAATACAAACTACCGCTGTTGCGAGGACGTCTACAAGCAATATGCTTTCCATCAAGTGCGCCACATGCATGGGGCATGTTCCATTTGCGACAAAACTCTGCAGAAATTGCACGCCATTCTACTTGAGTGATTGGACATTGGAGACACTCGTCCTTATACTCATTTATGATGGCCTGACATACTTCACGAACACACAGAGAAATAGTGTTGTGGGGTACTCTGAAGTCAAATTTCATGCTTGCATATCTTTCCCCGGTCGCAAGGTGGCGTAAAGGCATAGCAAGTTTCATACCTGGTTCGATTGCTTTACGATAATTAGTGTCTTGCTTGGTAATATATGGACGCAATCTTGCAAGGAGCGCATCAAACATAGCAGGCGGCAAAAAGAGAAAATTCATGAAACTTGCAGGATCTTCATTCCGTAACTCAGGCATTAGTCGATGAAAGTGACCATAATCAAGCCTTCTGTTGACGTCCAACCACAGCCGTACCCAGAATCTCCGACGCCTTGTGGCTCTCCTCTGTCTTCGTCTTTGGACAATAAATAAAGCGTCTTCTTCTTCTTGAGCTTGTTGCACGTGTATCAATGCAAGGAGCATTCCTGTTTGTCGTTGTGCAGCAGCCATTGCTACTGTTTTTGTGAAGAGGCTGACAACGCTCTAACAACACCGTGAAAGCGCATTGTGATCGCCAACGGACGCTGTAGAAACGCCATGGGAGCGCAATGGTCGCAGTGACAACTCCGTGTTGTCGCCGTGTAATCGCAGTCGAGAAAATCACAAGACGATAAATCTCATTAGAAGCGCCATAAAAACGCGATAGAAACGCAGTGACATCTCCAAGGACTCCGTGGGGTCTCCGTGGTGTCTCCGTGGAAGCGCAGTCTACTATCACTGCGTTCGTGCCGCGATCATCGGCGTCTTCACGGCGTTCGTACTGAGCTCCTACTACGTTGATGGAGATCTCACCGCGCTGCTACGGCGATCATACTACGTTTCTACTGCGTTCTTATCAGACGGCGATCACACGGCGCGTACTTTGTGCATGCCCAAAGTGATCGCCGTCCCCTGGCGTTCTAGGAGACCCTTCGCGACCGTACGGCGTTCAGTGGAGATCTCGCCGCGTTGTCACGGCGCTGTAGGAGACTCTACTGCGATCACCTCGGCGTTTTGCAATTTTTGAGGACGCCATGCAGTCGCCGTGAGAACGCAGCCCTGGTGTGACAGGGGTTTTAGGGGGGCTTAAAGATATGTATGATGAAATCAACGGTATTAAAGCAACAAATAAAGCAATAAGATGTCTAGGTATTTATATAGGACACGAGAAAGAAGAATGCTACAATAAAAATTGGATGAAAATATATCACGACATTGAAAAGTTATTTGAGTCTTGGAAACGTAGAAAATTAACGGTTTTTGGTAAATCGTGTATAATCAAAACATTAGCAATTTCAAAACTAGTTAATACTGCATCTATATTGTGTATACCAAATAAAGAATATATCTGTAAGGTCCAAAGACTTTTATTTAATTTCTTATGGGACAAATCGGAAAGAATCAAACGAAATACACTGATAGGCGATTTAACTGACGGAGGTTTATCGATTACAGATATAGAAAGTAAGTTTAAGGCTCTGAAAGCAGCGTGGATACCGCGACTGGTATCTTCTAAGGGCACTCTTTTTGAAATCTTTGAGAGTTTTTTGAATAAAGCGAATTTAAATCTGAATTACGTCTTACAATTTTCTGAAACTAGTTTAAATGCACTTGACAGAATAGGCAAACTTCCACTTTTCTACAAACAAATTCTAAGCTCATTTAACGAATGTAAAAAAAATGTGTAACTTCGAAAATACATCACCTTCTGATATTTTAAAACAACCCATTTGGAATAATAACAATATCAAAATAAAAGGAGAAACATTATTTTTCAATAACTGGGTCAACAGTAATATTCTCTATTTAAAAGATTTAATAGATGATAACGGGAACATTAAAACACTACAAATGTTTTCCACTGTTATTAAAAGAAAGTCAAACTGGCTTTGTGAATACAAAACTTTACCATCAGCAATTAAACCATTGTGTAAAAAATGTGATTTATCTAATGCCAAATATTTAAACATAAAGAATGAAATGAGATTTCATTTCGCAACAGGTGTTTCAAATCTAAATGGTAAGAAATGCCAATTTTTTTTTTTATAAAATTTTAATACATAAGAAATTTGTTAAACCGTGTTATCAAATTAAACTTTCTGAAGAGTTTTCAATTCCTGCAAACGACTCAAGTATATGGCAAAATATATACAGGAGAAAAATTAAAGATATAAATGATAATAAAGTTGCTAAATTTAATTATAAAATGCTCCATAATATTCTCTGCAACAATACCTATTTAAGTAAATGGATAAAGGACAAGGGGGGCAACTGTACTTTATGCAAAATAACTGAAACCACAAAACATCTACTTTTTGAATGTAAAATCGTTGAACAGATTTGGAACAAGCTAGGAACGTTTTTATCTATTGATATAAAATGGAAACACATTGCTCTGGGCTTTTATCGAGAAAAAAACGATAAGATTGAATCTTTGAATTTATTAATATCTTTTATTGCATATAAAATATATAAATACAAAATGTATTGTAGAATTCAATCTCTGAAAGAAACCGAAGTAGATTTGTTAAAAAATGTCAAAAAATGCACTTATTCAATATTCTTCTGTATTACTTCTTATGAAATGTGATAAACAACATATTTTTACAAAATTTGCAGACACATTATAAATGTGATGTAAATGTTTTTTTTATCAATTAAGCAGCTACTTCGAGAGAACAGTCTCAAGTAGCATCGTCCACCAGGGAGTGTTTGGATGGACTCTTTTGTGGTTTTAGGACCCCGGTGGACCATAATTGCTATTTCAATTCTGTTTCAGTATATTGTTTTGTATATTTATATTCTGCAACACTTTGTCCTAAATAAACATTATTCCATTATATGTATATGCACTATAAAAAATTGTTATAATCGAAAAAAAAACCTAATTTACTTATTATTTTTATAATAACTTGACATAAATATGTAAACAATTGATATATTCAACAACATATATATATTCATGTTTCTCTATCATTATTTTTGTACTGTTTTCGTATTGTTGTTATTTAAAAATCCTGAATAAAATCTTATTAAAAAAAAAAAAAAAAAAAAAAAAAAAAAACTTAATGTTAAAGGACGATCTTTTATTTTAGGTTATCCTTATCATCTTTCTGACGACAACAAGACATTAAACATAAACAAAATGAGGTTACCTGACGCAGGATGTTACACGTGTGTGACGAAAAATAGCGAAGGGATTGCTGTAGCTAACTTTTTACTTCGCTCCGGTAAAATAAAAAAATTAAATGTATTCTTCATATTCATTTTCGAATTATGCAGACAATTAAATGAAATGAATTTGTTTTAGACTATCGTCTTAAAATAAATCATTTTCATTCATGATTTATCTTTTTTCAGACTCTTTAGGTGATGGAGAAAATAGTAAGTAATTATGGAAAACTCCGATTTACTGTAAGCAATACTTAACATGAATCAAGAAAGAAAACATACTTACTTCTAAGAAGGGTCAAACTGACATAATCGGGTGTGTTTTTCTTTTTATAAACCTAAATCTGGGGTTATGATTCAGACGTCAATCAGTAGGATGTATAATTATACAGCTTTTTAAAGAAAGTTTTTTAAAAATGGTATGATGCTTGTAATTGAATACTCTAAAATCTGTGTTTTAGATGACGTTTTAATTATTGCAGTAGTGACCACTTTCACAATCGTAGGAGTTTTAACATTAATTGCTGTGATTTTCAGACAAAGGTGAGAACTTAAAGAAAAGACCTCTTGATTTGATAAAATGTTATTTGTTAAAAGCAACATGATGTTAATAGCAGCAGTACACACTTGTAGAATTTACAAGGATAGAAAAGGCAGAGAAATTACTTCACAGATTCCCAGCCAACGTAATAGCATCATATATTCAGATGCAACAATTAATATCTATACGGAGGCAGATACGGAACAAGAGCACATATATATTGAAAATATTGGAGAGCTTAATTCTGGATTAGATATGCAGACTGAAGATCCTGAAATGGGGAAAAATTATGATATTTTACGAGCATGTTTATCCATACAACCTGACACCTCTGCATCTTGTTATGATTGTTCAGAAAACGTCGAAGGGATTTATAATTATTCTCTAAGGAGAAAGGTTTATGTAAATCAATCACTGGAAGAAACCAAGAGAGTTGAAAATTTTGGAGAACAGTTACCAATTCTAACAGACATGTACGCTTATCCAGAGAATACTAATGGAGAGACTGAAGAACTGACTAGTTACTCAAGCAATACAGGTGACATAGAAAATCCCGGCATTTCAATGGAATTTTCTGTTTTTCTACCACAGAATAACCAAGCTAAGGATTTTATTTTTGCGCAAAACATTCTCTCTGGCGATGGTTTAAAGGATATCAAAATATCAAAGGATTCATATGACCAACAACAAAACAAAAGACTTCACAATTTTGATGGAACCTTTATTCCAAAGAATTCCAATTCTTCATCCGTTGAGTCCCAAGACGGCTATGGTACATTGTCGGGCAGGGGGATAATTACTCCAAAATGAATTGAAAGATTCGTATAAATACAACAAAAAGTTTTGAATTTCAATAAACTCTTTAAAAATGTGTAAACATTCAGAAAGAACTTAATTCGATAATAACCAATATTTGCATCCCAAATCAAACTTTAACGGAGAAATATATATAAATATGTACATAGGAGGATATATGCTGACTTCAAATAACTGAATATTTACATAAGTAGTGACGTCATAGGTTTGAAATGACGTCACAAAAATGGCGTAAATATAAAATTTCCATGATTTCTACAGAAAAATGTATATATTACGTCTATATTTTGAGTAAAAGTCACCGAGCGCAGGTCTGATCAGGCTCAGTATTTTCATATAATGTGCAGAATGATAATATCAATGAAATATGTAAAATTGTTCCTGAGCAAACTTGCGCTCTATAAATTTTAAAGCTAAAATTGTTGAAATTTTGTCGATATTGTCCTCTTTCTAAAAAAGGATATAAAATTGGACTAGTTTGTGACGTCATAAAAACAAAAATTGTCAATAAATTACTCTGAAACTATAATATGTTCTGTTAATTTATATTTCTCATACAATTTATAGAATTTAGCACATTTCAGGATTTTTTCAAAATTTGACTTTCATGGGGGCAAAGATATGCAGTATACCGCATATAGTTCTTTGACCTTCAGAGTATTCTGAAATGTGTTATAAATACTTGAACACGAAATCATATGTACTTAGGTTTATCAGAAAAGGAGACAACAGATAATGAATTACTAGTACATGTATTCTTAAACAAAGACTTATTAAAGTCTTATTTACCAATTTTACAAGAACAGTGGCATTGTCGTGTATTTATTATTAGGGTAAAAGAAATGGTTTTACCTTTATATTTTGAGTAAAGGAAATTGAAGTTTTATATTAAAGAAAATCAAATCAATGCGTTCGTTATCCTCAATAAGTAATTATTATTTAAATGAATCTTAAACGTGGTCAATTGATAGGGAGTTTGTCCATACTCTCAGCTCACAAAAATCGGTAAAAGTAAAGATTCCATCTCAGACTTTTACAAAATATAATTTCCACAGTAAAGTAATTGTTATATATCAGCTATTTAAAAATACTATTTTGTATTACTGATCTGATTCTTTTAATTTGATGACAAGCGTAAGCAATTAATAAACTTATATACCAATTATTTTTTGTAGGTGTTGTAGAAAGGACCTTCCGGAGTACTATGACACAACTCGAAGGGAATACGTAGAATGTCACAACTACGAAGACATTTGAGGAGCCAAGAAATTCTAACGAGATGTGTTATTGATTCATAAAACATAGATAAAACATGCAAAAAGAAACAACCAGAAAACATTTGCATTTATCAACCCTCGTGCTATAGTTTCATTGTTTCCTTTTGCAATATATTATCATATCCATCTGGCAGATGAAGTAAAAACATCAAAGGCAGAGGAATTAGTCACTGCCTTCAACTTTTCTTGTCGGTGCACTTCTTTCAATCATAGTTATTACGGTCCACAACTGGGACTAGAAATTGATTGGTGATTACTTCCCCCTTTACACCTAAGACTGGTAGACCATCAAATTAGCTTTTTGGCCTTCTGATTGTTACTGAAAATAATAGAAACTGTATTTATGAAAATGTATGCTGTATTCATGAAAATTTGAGGAATAAGTACTGGAATTATGACTATTTAATAATAATGTATCAAAAGGTTGTTTTGAAATTTTTAAGGCAAAAATACATATGAGATACACTTCAGAATATCCCAATTTCAATTAAATTAATTCAATATCTTGCAATTTCGATTTTTTTTATCAAACATCGCTAGTTAAATCTTATGACCTCAATAAATATATATTTTTTGTACATTCAATCTTGTAAACATAAATTTCAATGTCAATAGTCTCCTTCATTATATATTATGATAATACTTTGATTAGACAGTTCATGTAAACATACGATACATCTGTACATGTACTATTTCTACGTTGTGTGTGATGATGCTTCTACGTTACATACTGATAGGAAATCACTCACTGTTCATACTTCACAGTATTCTTCACAATATTACGATATTTCATAATGTGATGATTGTTTGTATTTTTAGCTTTCGGTGAAAATTCTACAATGTTGTTGATTTATTCTTGAATTAAAACTTATAAAAGGAAGTTTCATTTCAATGAGTTTGAATAATTACATTATACTTATGAATGTTTCGGGAAAAAAATGTTGTTTTCAGAATATTTAAAATATGGTAGTCCTAAACTACAATGTACATGTATTCAGTTTGATCCCATCATACAAGTGATTTTTTGTTTTAACATAAACCGACTCTTTTTTTAAACGGCTTCAAATTCTTGGACAAACAGTTTAAAGCAATACAAATAAGTACATATAACTGGATCACATGTTTAGTGTATTGAAATTGGCCCATTCTTGCTTTATATATAACTTGAAAGAATCAACATATAATGAAAAAGAACCTTCATATAATAAAGATTTGAAAGCACAATGTTCAAAGTATATTTATTAGCATATAAAGACAAAAAATCAGCATGTTTTGTTTTAAAAATAATCCACATTTATTAAAGAGAGAGAAAGTATACGCATATATTTGAGAGTCATTGGTAGATAACGGAGACGTCTACTGCATACTGCGACATGTATCAGCATATAAAGATCAAAATACTGAAAGCACTCATGGGAGCTGAACATGGTGTAAAATAAAATCTTTGATCGGGAGGTTAATTGAGTGAACAATATTATTATTTCAAATACAGAAAACTGTTTCAGATTTTTTGAGTTGCAACAAACTTTAGAAAGACATTCAGAGACTTTGAATAGAAAAAAAATGCATGGGCCATAATGCTTGCCTGCCTACATTAGTCCTTTTTTTTAACCCCCTGCTTGAAAAGCAGGAGGGTATTTATTAATCGGGATTTCCGTCCATCTGTTTGTTACGCTTTAGGTATACCCATCTCTTATCCGCAATTCCTCTTACACCACTGAACGAAATTTTCATAGAATCTTTATTACATATTGCCGTTGTGCACCTTCTATTACTTTTTCATCCTACACATATTTTGGGTTTCCCATTGCAAAACATTGACATGCCATTATACTAGTATTATTAGAGGTGGTTGATCATTTATAATATAATTCGTTGCTCACAGTTTTCAAATTTGTAATATATTTTTCTTTGGCACCTTTACCCATGTGTTATGAAAATTTCAGTTTCGCAGGAATAATATCATTGTTGACAAAATGTGGATTTTCACACAGCATCCTTTTGAGAGCCGTCAGTATGTAGAATTGTCGTTCGTATCTCTTTCAGTGTATGACGCTACACTAAAAATGAATTCCATTACGAAAAACTTTTGAGGTTCTATATAATTTAGTTTTACTTTGAACGAAATTTAATATTCAAAATAAGATTACTTTATCATTACATTTACTTACATTTCAAATTATGAAAATTAGATCAATTCAGGAGAAAATGACATGAACTATTTGTGGTGGATGTTTATGCACGTTTTCTGTTGAATGTCATCGGAGTAAATTGGTCGACACAGTAGCCTCGCTTTCGGCTCTATATAATCAACACAAATTACTGCGCATGTTAAATGTGTGATGACCATGGGAGATTGAACATAGTGAAAAAATGAATCATAAAATGATGGAAAAGTGTCAGCATAAATAGACATTTTATTGGAAAAAATATGCCCAGAGTTGAATTTTCACATGTAAAAATGCTTTGAGGATAGGAATCTACTATATTATGATTTACGTTTGTTTGAGTGAAGAAAATATAATTTACATTTTTCCATCAACACAAAAATACTTAAACTTAAAAAGTTAAACATTAAAAAATCTTCTGCAGAGTTTGTTTTCGCAAATATATCCGAATGGACAGGCACTACAGCTGGCCGCCGGGATATACGGCCTGCCATCCAAATCACTACTGTAAGTAAAAAATAAAAATCATTTACATATATTATCAGGGCTAGTTGAAATACTCTCTCTCTCTCTCTCTCTCTCTCTCTCTCTCTCTCTCTCTCTCTCTCTGTTGTTTTTTTTTACCTTGGTCCATAATTACACACTACAAACGTGTTTGTCCCACAGTCAGCCTTTCCACATCCGACATATTCTGAATCTGCCCAAGTGACCTTTAGTTAAAAAATGATATACTAGTATATAAGTTTTTAAAAAACTCATTAAAGGTTGAAAAACCAATTATAATAATAAAAGAACCAGAGCATCAGGTCTTGTATTTCAGGTTACATATAGTGGAACAAGTTCAGGACTCGTTAAATTAATTTGTACTTCTCCAGTATCTTATTCACTGTATTGGAATACAACAATTAGTCAATTTTTTCATGAATCAGAGATATTTCTTGTAGGCTTTAGTGATATCACCTTTTTTTATTTTATATTTTTTTAATACAGTAGTAATGAGAGTGATTACCTGTGTGTAATATTCACAGAAAAAGAAGAGTTGACATTCATTTGTCTGGAAGTTGTAAGAGTCTCCTTGTTGGCTCCAGTATTGAATGGCATTAGAAATGTTTGACCCCTCTAAGTGGGAATAGTATAGACTACATCAATACTTCTATTTTTCATATTACAATGTTTTAGGTAGTGATATTTCTAGAAGCTTGCACAATTTGAAAAGAAATTTTAAAATGCCGTATGAAAACTCCTTCTTCAATTATTAAACATTAATCTTTGATATTTCAAGCTAATGAGATTTCAATTCAACACAAATTTTAATTAGCTAATTTGATTAAAAATAAGTGTTGCCTTTTCTGGAGAGTAAGTTTACAAAAAAGCATACACTTTGAAACACCTCTGAGTCAAATCTGTGCCATAAAGGGTGTCATACTTGTGCATACCAAAAAACAAAGAATAGGGAATTTTTTTCAAGATTGACTGTGGGACAAGTTTTCAAAGTAATCGCCCTTAAAGTCAGGAGGAAGAAAATTTGGATTCAGCTAATCAATTTGACAGTTGTCCCATTATTTGAATAAACAAAATATAAACTTACTTGTTCCGGTGAATATATTTTCACCAACCCTGCTGAATGTGCGCGATTCTCTTGATCGGTTATCATTGTGCAGAAATGAGCACCTGTTTGCATGCTGTTGTGCAATCGATTCAAGTTCCTGAGAGTACATCTACAAGAAAACAGCATATTATATCAAGAATTACATGTCTACATGTAGCTGTGTTGTTTCGAATGTCAACACATTTAGGAAAGTTAAGAATTCATCACACTATGTTATCCTATAGCTAGTTATTTTACGGAATTTCACTCTATCCCTCTAAGTCTAAACTTACTCAGAAGAATATGCTGTAATAGTCTAACCGAATACCCGGTATAGTGAAATGGGTTTTTTTTTTATTTTTCTTTTAAATTTATTTATTTATATATTTATTTTTTTGTATTTTAAGTCTATTGATCTTGGTTGTTGTTGGTCAAAGTGTTGAGAAAAAAGTATTTTTTAATCGTTTACTCTTGATTTTTCAAAGGTTATACTTGGCATTAAAAAATATCATTTAGAAATTTACAAGTATTTAGTTTTTACTCATTATTTGTGGTGTAATTGTAAAGAATTTGAAATAAATTTTGCAATGATAGGAAAACTCAGTGTGTAAATAATAATGACCTACCAATTAATATGAAAAATGTTAGCCACTCTTCGAATGAATGATAGATTGTTTTTACCAATAAGGTCATTGTATCGACCATAAAACTTGCGAAATGATTACTTAAATCAAGAATGGTGATATTCTTGTTTCATCAACTTAATTGTCAATAGCTTAGCTTATAAAAGAAATTGTTCGTTCGTCAAATTTTCTCTAGCGTATCAAATATGAAACAGATTGATTTGTCAGACTCGGTGATATCTTAATTTCAAGATTACTGGATATATTGCGTCAACATATGAATGGAAGTTTTTTAGTTCCTCCTTTAGTGTCGACAATTAAGTTAACACTAAATGATTGTCTTGTTCTGATAAGTCGATACTTACTAATTTCTTCATGTTTGCTGCCAGTGGACTGACATTTGATCGTATATCATTGTGCTCCTGCAAAAAACACAGAAAGAAGTTCAATGCAATGATTCTCTGAAAATGTATAAACCTAAAAAAATTTACTTTAGTTAATATAGTGCACTTTGATACTCGAATTACTATGAAACTTTAATCTAAAACTGTGTTAGATTTTGAGTCTTAATATTTCTTAATTCAAATTAAATACGATATTACACCAAGCCAAGATAGGATTTTATCCTGCAACTACCCCTTGCATTGACCTAATAAAGGTAACATAATAAACCAAAGCTTTATCCTGCAACTAACCCTTGCATTGACCTAATAAAGGTAAGCTTTATCCGGTCACTGCCCTAATAAAGCCTCGTGCATGTATTCCGACGTTCTAAAAGCATTGTGACGTCACGTATATTGCAATGTTTACGCCATGGCGTCATAGTTTCAACTGCAGAGATGTGCCTAAATCTGTCGGATATAGCTTGTTCTGGACGTTCAAATGTAAGAAATATGTTGCAGGATAAACAAAATACATGATAACTGTCTTGAAATATAAGCGATATTTGGGCTCGAGTCGAAAACGTAAGAGGGCTCGGCAAGCCTCGCCCTCTATCACGTTTTCTTACCCTCGCCCAAATATCGCTTATATTTCAAGACAGTAACCATGTATTTTATATTTATCAGGAAGGAATTTCTTTTGGTTTACATGTATTTTATTTTACAAATATCAGTTTTGAGTTATACGAAAGCCCATTGGGCTCATTTTCGTAGGTTAAAAAAATAAAATTTTTGCGCTATAAAATTTTCGCGTTATAACGCGTAACTTTCGTGTTATAACGCGAAACTTTCGCAAATAAACGCAAGACTTTCGCGTTATAACGCGTAATTTTCGCGAATAAACGCGTAACTTTCGCGAATAAACGCAAGACTTTTGCGTTATTTCGCGAAATTATATGCATATAGTAATGTTTTTCAGGAATCTTGATCTTCACTAACAGATAAAATCATGAACGCTGACATGATCTTTCATGAATTTGTCTAAAAAAAGACGCCTGAAACAGTTGGATTCAATACCAAGAAAACTTAAAAACTTAAAATTGTAGCTTGTGATGGTCCAAAATGGCCTTTTTGCTTTTCTTTGTTATGAATACAAGTAAACTAGATCACAAAATCAAGAAAAAGTTAAGACTTACGCAAATATCTTGGTTAAACAGTAAAAGTTTCGCGTTATAACGCGAAAGTTACGCGTTTATTTTCGAAAGTTTCGCGTTATAACGCGAAAAATTAATTTTTTTAACCTACGAAAATGAGCTCAATGGGCTTTCGTAGAGTTATGTATTTTGTAGAGATATTTTTTTTTTTACTACAGGGAGAGAAATACTGAAAATAAACTTGATTTCTATTTCCGATTTTTAGGCTTCAAATGAAACAACTTACCTGAACATACTCAACCCAATAAGTGGCATACACCTTAACGACCAGTAACAATGGAAGAAGTGGATATTTAACCGCCATGTTTGAGATATTCACGACTGTCTCAGACTGATTGGTAAGTTTAAGCATGTCCTGTTGGTACAACAGCCGAGTTTTTATATCCGTCGTTTTTGAAAGTGCACATTTATCACGCTATATACATGTATTAATGTAATTTCGATAATAGATGTGATTTTGATTAAATGTTTATGCACTTTTGTATTATCCCCATAGGAAGTAGACAAGTTAAGTCGTTTTTGAAAGTGCACATTTATCACGCTATATATTAATGTAATTTTGATAATAGATGTGATTTTGATCAAATGTATTTATGCACTTTTGTATTTTTCCAAATAGGAAGAAGACATGTAAACAGGCTTTGTTTTTGTTTTGGTTAAAAAAAATAATATATTTAAATTCAGCGGATAAAAAACAACGCATTAGAAATTCATCATTTAAGATAAGGAAAAAACAATTCATTAATTATCTTAGATAAAAGTACAAATTGATTGAAAAAGATCAATCAATGATTGCACAAATACATGTATAAATTAAACAAGCATATGTTAATGGAAAAAAATGTTTTTCGTTGCAGTGCATGGAATAAATATCTCCCTGAGCAAAGAAAGGATAGAATTAGATTAACATAAAAAATATTTTTTTTAATTGACAGAATGTTCAGAAGATCAGCACATACCATGATTTTGATATTCCAGGTTTAATTCTTATCTAGCTTGCTGAATAAGTAAGATTCATGTAAAACCAGTAATTTCCGAGTCATATGCATTATATTGCTTGATTCTTTAAAGCAGAAAAGAGCAGGTAAAGTTATCAATCATATGGTAATTTACTGCAGAATGTGTAAGGACGATGAACAACGCTCGTTTACAGATTGTCAATTTCTGCGCATGTTATGTCGCTTAACATTTATCTAAATCAATTAGCTGTCCGATTTATCTTTAAATACTTTAAGAAAGTATACGTTTCTTAAGGGTTTAATGTCACAAGGATTACATATGTGAAGTATGAAAGCCCTAGCCCTTACCTTTCAAAAGTTATGGCCAACGTTAAAGTTCTTAAAAAGTAGATCAAACTCCAAGGTTAAAGGGTCAAAGTTCTTGATATCAAATAAAAGGTCTTGTCACAAGGATTAGATATATGAAGTATGAAAACCCTAGCCCCATCCCTTCAAAAGTTATAGTTGAGGGTTGCTTTTTCAAAAGTAAGTCAAACTCCAGAGTAAAAAGGTTAAAGTTTTTGGTATCCAATAAAAGGGCTTCTCACAAAGATTACATATGTGAAATTTAAAAACCCTTGTCCTTATCGTTCAGAAGTTATGACCAAGGTTAAAGTTTTTTCTTAAGTATGGAAATCTCAAAGATCAAGGTCAAAAGGTCAAATTTGTTGGTATTCAGTAAAAGTTCTAGCCACAGAGAATACATATGTGAAGTATGAAAGTTTTAGTATCTACCGTTCAAAAGTTAAGACAAATATTTGTGTAAAAAGGTTAAACGTCAATGTCAAAAGGTCAAATTTGGAGGTACCAAAAGAAAGGCCTTGTCAAAAGGAATACACATGTGAAATATGTAAGTCATAGATCCAGTAAATAAAAAGTTATGGTCAAGGTTAAGGTTTTTGCGGACAAAAAGACAGACCGGCATAAAAAGAAGTCAGCGAAATCCAATTAAATCATCTTTTCTTCTAATGGAAGTATACATATGAAAACATCTCCAAAAAGCTTAATTTTATGCCCCGGATCAAAAGATCCCGAGGTATATTGTTTTTTCCTGTCTGTATGTTTGTCTCTCTGTTTGCATGTTGTCAACTTTAACCTAGGCCATAACTATTGAGTGGTTGGGACTATGGCTTCCATATTTCACAGGTGTATTTCTTGTGACAAGACCTTTCTTTAGTTACCACCAAATTTAACCTCTTTATTTCTTTACAAACACTTTAACCTTAGTCAAAACTTTTGAACATGTGGAGCTAGGTCTTTCATCCTTCACATGTGTATTCATTGTGTCAAGACTTTACATACATGGTATAAATATTTTTCATCGTGACCTTAGATTTTAACCCACTTTTTAAAAAAAACTTTAACATTTGCCATAACTTCTGAACAGTTAAATTTAGGTTTTCATATTTCACAGGTGTAATCCTTGTAACAAGAACTTCCTTTCGGTACCAACACCTTTGACCTTGACGTTTGTAGTATGACATACATTTGAAAGAATTCAAGACATAAGCTGCCCTAGAGGGGCATCAGTATTTCACAAAAGCATCTTGTTTAAAATTGTTTTTTCATTGAAAATGACGGCTTAGAACAAACTATTTTGTTGTATTTACACCCATGCACCTTACTTAACTAAGATATGGTATCTTGTTTAGAATTGTTTTTTCATTGAAAATTACGGCTTAGAACTATTTTGTTGTATTTACATCCATGCACCTTACTTAACTAAGATGTGGTAATTCAGAATCAACAAGATGTGTTTGTGAAACACTGATGCCCCTGTATGGCAACAAAGCGAGGATTAAACTTTTCTTAATTGCAAATTTAATATATTGGTACCAGAAGAAGGGTATTTTCGTTGGAAATACAATTGTGAAATATGAAAGTAGTAAAGGCCAAGGTTTTCATAAGTGCGGAAATCTCCAAGGTCAAGGTAAGAAGATCAAAGTAATTGGTATCCAATGAAGGTCTTGCCACAAAAAATACTTAGGTAAAGTATGGAAGCCCATGCCCTAGCCCTTCAAAAGTTATGGCCAAGGTTAAAAATTTTAAAATGTTAAACTCCAAGGTCAAGGGTCAAAGGTCTTGCTATCAAATGAAAGGTCTTGTCACAAGGATTAAATATGTAAAGTATGAAAGCACTAACCCTATCACTTTAAAAGTAAAGGTCATTTTTTGTTTTTTAAAAGTACATGTAGGTCAAACTCCAAGGTCAAAATCAAAGGGTTAAAATTCTTGGTATCCAATGAAGGGTCTCCTCACAAGGATTGCATAAGTGAAGTAAGAGATCACTAGCCCTTATCGTTTAAAAGTTATGCCCAAGGATAAAGTTTTTAATGAGTGCGAAAATCTCCAAGGTCAAGGTTGTTTGTATACAATAAAAGGTCTTTCCACAAAAAATAAATGTGTAAAGTATAAATGTCCTGTTATCTACTGTTCAAAAGATATGGCCAAAGTAAAAGTTTGGAATTTTTATGTAAAGTGGGTCAAACTCCAAGGTCAAGGTCAAAAGGTCAAATTTGATGGCACCCAAAGGTCTTGTCACAGGAAATAAACATGTGAAATATAAAAGTCATAGATCCACTTTATCAAAAGTTATGGACAAGGTTAAAGTTTTTGCCAAAACTGGCTCTTATCAAATATACTCCTTTGATGGCACCCAAAGGTCTTGTCACAGGAAATAAACATGTGAAATATAAAAGTCATATATCCACTTAATCAAAAGTTATGGACAAGGTTAAACGGACATGACAACGGAACGACTAATACCCCGAAACTTCGTTGACGGGGGCATAAAAAGGAATCCATCTATAAATAAGTTTGAGGAAAAGGAATGCTTATACCTTATATGCTTATAAGATATCCCTTACCACTTTCTATATTTTAACATCAACCCTTTAGTTATAAAAGTAATTTGAAAAACAATGAATCTCATTTAAATTACATGATTTATTCAGAATATACAACTATGTGTTAAGAAATATATCAAAAAGTGTCATTTAATTCAGGTAAATATATGAATATCTTTCTGATTTTGTTGGTGCTGATCTAACCATGGTGGTGTGGTTTATGCGTGGTGGTGGTATGAGTGGTGTGGGGGTGGGTGGTGTGGGAGGAGGAGGATTTTGTACACAGCTTATTCTCGCAATGATAACCGTGTGGACATTTGCTGCAGGGTGCTCCGTGGGTGTAAGGAATTTCTCCTCGGTAGTTTCCTCTAAAACAAGAAAAACCAATGCATTAATGCATATGTGGTAAAATGATGGGGTTTTACAAATTCTTTATTTGGAGAAATCAAATGAAAAATATTCTTCTTTGGACATTATGTTAGTACATAGTATAATAAGTAAAATTAGATAGGCTAATTTGTCGAAGAACTGATGTTTTAGCGTATATCTACCCCGGCCCATAGTCGCAAACGATAAAATAATGTCCGTCAGGGCAGTGAGATGTTGCACATCCTACATATTCAGTGGTCGCCCAAACTTCCTAAAAATAACAAATGTAAGTGATCAATATAATACCTGTCTGAGAAGTTTAAAGAAAATCCTGAATTTCCAATTACGCCAAATGTCATGTTTTAGATAACACACATAACAAACCATAAAAGCGTTTTTTTAATTTAAATTGCAGGCCTTAGAATTGTTTGAGGCAAACCTTTCGAGGAAGGAGATGTTAAACATATGAGATTATTAAAATTATATACCAGTATGTATAATAAAATCAATGTAAAAATAAATTAATGATAACTGGGAAAGGGGCCCACTAGGGGTCTGTAACAGGGCTTCACCTGTGTGTAGTGACCACAGTGTCCCTTTAAGCATGTGTTGTTTCCGTAACTGTAATTCACATGTTCTGCAAACCAACGGTCAACTGGGTACTCTTCCGTGTGGGCTCCTAAAATCATTAACATGAATGAAGAAATGCTTATATCAAGGAGAAACAAACAGGATGATCACTCCTCCAAGGAACCTGATCCCATCTCTGATGTTTTAAGAGGTCCGTGTTTTTTTCTGCGCCTGATTTGTATTTTTTCAATGGACTTTTAAGCACGATAACTGATAGTTATATTCATATAATACATGCAAGAGATCAAAAATGTTTGATAAAATGAGGTCAAACCAGGGTTAAGGGTTCAAACTACGAGTTCAATTTGGTAATGAAATGAAATATAATGGAGATACCGAAAAGTATTCAGACGCAGAGTAGGTAACAAAGAAAAATGCATTTCTACTAATCAGTAATAATCAGCAATAATCAGTAGTGCCCCTACCCCACAGGAATTCCTGACACTGGGATCATGAAATTTACAATTTTGGAAAAGATACCCTTGTTCATCATAAATGTTTGATTAATACCGAGTAGAAGATTTCGAAGTATTAATGAATATGGAGATAACGAACAGTATTCAAGCTTGGAGTCTATTAAACAATACAAAATTGGGACAGAGCAAACACAGACCTCCAAAACATCAGAGGTGGGATCAAGTGTCATGGACTAGAGAGCATTCCCTGCCAACCGGTCACACACGCTGTGTGCTCCTTGTCATGTTTTGGGGGGGGGGCGAGAATCCGTGGACAACAGTGTGTTAATAATGGCCTAACAACAAGCATGAAAAAGTCAGTCAGCACTGGACTTCATGATGAATTATATATTTGCTGAAAATGTCATTGTATCGACCAAAGACCAAATGAAATGATGATTGATTTAAAAGAGACTTCTGATATTCTTGTTTCAGCAACTTGTTTGACAATAATTAACTTCGTTTTATAAATTGTCCGTGCGTAGAACATGCTCTCGCGTATCGAATCAACTCAAATATATAAACACTCTATGCTGGTGATAAAGGTATACTGTTGCAAAAGTAGGGAAAGTTCATCATTGAAAAGTTAAAGTCATCCCGTTTATCATAAAGCTTGGTTGTAAGATTACCAGTAACGTCTCTTTCAAGTAAAATATCTAAATCTGAAACAGCTAGATGTGTCAGATTCTGTGGTATCTCTATTTCAAGCTAACCGGGATTTATCGTATCGACACAAGACTGGAATTAACCATTGTTAATTGATATTACGTCATTGATATATCCAAATGTCGAGTTGAAGGGCACAGCAAGTGTTGTTTTTTTTCTTTTCACATACATGTATAAGATTTTAGAAAAATTCTGCTTCATGTAAATACAAAAATAGTCTTCTTATAATTGGGCGCAATTGGTATCCATGAGATTTCCAACAGATTGTTGGAAAACCCGTCGTCAAAAACAAATTAGATATTGTCAGTCAGAAACTCAAGCATCTTTTAAATATTAAATTCAAATTCACTTCAAAAGTACTTGTGTGCACAATAAGAATTTTTTAACTCAACAATATTGCAAATGACCAATGAAAAGATAAGAAAATTTACGAGTTCCATTTTTACTGAAAAAGCAGCTGTCGATGATGTCATAAAGCCTGGACTTTAATTCATCGTGGGGAATGGTTCTATACAAAGTGGAAAAGTCGTAAGTTTTAATGCTGTTGATTTTGGTATAATTTTGTGATTTCAAAATTTCCAAAAGTTCCTTGAAGTTTTTAAGTATCCACATCTGATCATGATTTACACCACTTCTCAAATATATTGTTGCATAGTACTCTTAAAGTTTCCCCTTCACTACTGTTAATATTTTAGTGAGGAGTAAAGGAAAAGGTTTGATAAAACATTTATTGGAACCCGCTACGTATCTTTGTTTGTAAGGATTTTATGAAGTTAAGGAATCCAATATAGATATGGTAATTCAAATTCATCCTGGTTGTTGACATTTTTAAATATATTCAAAACTGACGAATGATTTTCAAGATTCCCTTCTTAGAAGGGAGCTATGGGTTTAAGTTGGATTACCAATTGTAGATTGAATCTCAGTTCCTCTAAAATACATTTTATATAATGAGCCTTACAAACAAAGACAACGTTGTTACCTGCTTTGTCAGCAGGGATCAGTACATACTGACCGTGTAATCTATCTTATTGTTTTTCACTCCTTATAATTACTAAACACAAAAATTACTGAACACAGAAAAGCTTTTCTGTCCGTTATCTCGTTGCATATGAATTGTACTTTGTTCAAAAAAAAATAATCTTATAATGAATATCTGTAGTTTAATAAATGTTCTTTGAATTAAACTTACGTGTGGACCACTGAATGTTTTCTCCTACATAATGGAATGTAGCAGATTGTTGAGATCTTAATGAGTTGTGTTTCAAACTGCAACCATCTGCCCATTTCTGGGCTATTTTTGCCAGTTCGTCGCTCCAGATCTAACAACACCCAAAAGATTGAATTTTAAGTAAGATCACAATGTAATGATATCATTATCAGAGAATTCGAAACGTGCAATATAAGAGAGAGACGTTCCTAAAAAAGAGGTTTACTGTATGAGGAATGGATTTACATACAAAAAAAATGCATAATTATATATATCCCTTGGATGTCAGTTCTCCGTTATGAGTCTTTGGATAAATATTATGATTTTTTGATTTGTAGTATCCTGTTGCTAGAAAAGACTCACCAATTTCTTCATGTTTGCCGCTGTTGGGTGGACAGAGGCGCGCATTTTGTTATGTTCCTGTAAGAATAAATTTGGGGAAGGTAAAATAAACTAGGAACAGAAAATTACAAAATAATTCCTAATTTGTTTCAATTACTTGCTGAATAAAAATCTACATATTTTGATTGATAATGCATTTAAATTCGGATTTCCAGAGTTTTTGTTGGCAATTATTAAAGCTTACTCACATATTGCTTTTTGCCAAAGTATTCCAAATACAGCTTTTCGTTAATGAAAAACGTTACAAAACTTTTCCATCAATCGTATGCTTTGGTCATTTTTAATTTTTTTTTTACTCTATTACCAAATTTATTAAATCAACATAGACAACAGCAAAAATATTTGAACTAGTTTTATGATCAAAAAGCCATAGATTCTTTTCTATTATTATTTATAAATGTTTTATTTATTTTGGTTTTCATTAATAATATTTGAAGGTCAATCCTTACTGAACAGATATTAAATATCAAAATTTGCCAAATAATCACCTATGATTTTGATTATCATTGGAATCAAATATTTTTGAAGTATTTTTGCTATTTTTCAAATAAAGAGCAGGATAAAAAAAGAAGTCCTACCGATAAAAAGTCACACCATGATGACACAAAGAAACTCGCTGTGAGCACCAAAAACAGAAAAGATCTTGGAATCGACATTTTAGCAAATGAGGAGGCAAATCTGTGAATCGAGGTTAGATTTTATACCACATAGATAAGGTTCTAATAATGTGGGTCTAATGACTGCTCTCAGTAACCTAGGTTAATAGATAACCAATGAAAAAGCTGTTTGTATATTTTTACTTTCGAGAAAACATGATTAATTGGAGTTTGGCCAAGACTTTAATTATTAATTATTATCAAAATTTAAATTGCTGAACATAAATGTGAAATACTTGGAGATTTTTGTCTAAATCGGGCGTTGCTTTTAAAAAAAAAACAGAAATTGATGAGTATTTTTAAAAATTTAGTTTATTTTAAAATATAATTGACCTTGCTCTAAATGAGAGCAAGGTCTAGTTTCGTGGCTAAGTTTCTAGGAGTATAATGTATGTTGAGCAGATAAAGTTATTTTAACATTTTCTAAGTTATTTTAATCTAATTTCGGTAAAGCTAATATTGCTTTTAGATAGTCCACTTCCCTTGTTTTAATTGATGTGTTATTATTTAAAGATTAGAAACGTTTCTGCTTAAAGAATCTTCTTTGTTAGTAAAAAAAAAGTTTTACTTTTTTTTAAAGCAGTTACAATTTCACAATGGTGTCCTTGAAATATTTTATACCTAACTTTTCCAGACATAGTGTTTATATAATTCAAAACCATAACAATTTAGTGGTTTATTTAACATAGTGGATACGATAAAGCCATCTTTAAAGGAATGTTTGGTTGCCCTTTCCTGACCAACTGAATACAAATGACCCAATAATTTTACCTTGAACATTGAAGATGGCCTAATTAAAACATAATGTTACATCTGTAAGAGAGAAAGAGAGCGAGAGTGTTGGACTTTTACGAGAAGCACTGACTTTTACAGTTGACGGTTTACGTTGATTTCATCATGTACGGAGATACAAAGTTGATAATTGACATGAGAAACTTTCTAGTGGTCAAAGGTATGGTGTTAGGGGCACTAACATGTGAAGACCAGGGGTTGAGGGTAGGATGGTTGTCTTTTTTATCAAGGACAACTTATATGTGCTTTGAAATAACCCAATATTTTCGTAAAATTAAATCTGTACATTGTCCTAGTGTAAAAGTAAATCGTCAACTGTAAAAGTCAGCGCTCCTCGCAAAATCCCATTAGGTACAGAAGTAGATTCACAAAACATCGTCTGTACAAAAACCAACATTATCAGTCGATTGCGACTGGGTAAAATTTGGTTCTACGTTTATATCAGTTAAAGCGACAACGTGACGGGAAAGCGGGAAAATTCAAAACAATAGTAGAATTTTTGCTTGACCAATCTTGTTCCATTTATGAAGATATTAGTTTTTACACACTTACAGGTTGCTGAAACTAAAATGTCTACTTTTTTGGGGGGGGGTTAAATTTAAAAATAAGTTTTGTATTGTCCGTTCATAAAATTTATATTGCTTCTTTTCTTTTTAAGCTGCTTTTTCAATAAATCTGAAACTCGTAAATTTACTCTCCTGGTCATTGGTCATTTTTAAAATCATTATGTAAAAAAAAAACATTCTGATTGTACACACAAGTACTCTGAAGTTGATAATAAAAAGATGGTTGATGTCATAGGTTTTTGCAAAAACTGTTATTACTATATACCCAATAGAACAATATCTTTTGGAAGAACGGTTTTCTATAGGTGTAATAATAAATATTGTTCAGTGACGTAGCATGGTTTTTTTTTTTTTTTTTTGGGGGGGGGGGGGGGCAGCCAGAGAACAAAATATTACTTGCATGAAAAATGTTGACAAGCAAAAATAAAAAACAAACAAGCAAAAAACAAAATTGCCCAAGCTCGAAAATACTATTTTCGGTGTGAGAGAGAGGATGTGTGTGTGTGGGGGGGGGGGGAGGGGGGGGGGGTGTTAGAGGCAAACTTTTTTCAATGTCAACTCCTTTCAGTGCCTTTTTTTTGCATAAATTACTTTATTTCCTTGATATCACTTCCCTGTAGTTAAAGGTGGAGGAGGGGGGGGCAACCTTTCCATCTTCATCTTCTATAGTAAAAGTATTGTTGGGAAAAAAGGGGGGGCTGAGCTACGTGCCTGTTGTTAAGACAATTAATCTAAAAAATGCATTTTTTATTTAATCAATTATTCAATCTTAAAAAAAAGTTGACAAGGACAATAATTCCTTCTTAGGTATCTTCATTCAGGCATTTGAAGCTGGGCATTTCTAATATGAAGTTTCCCTGATATTCACAATTTAAAGTTATCTTATAAGTAGCAAGTATTTTGGAACTTTCAGCATCAGAATTATGTACATGCATTTGAAACAGTTTTTACATAATTTTTATCATACTGTTTACAAAAAATACAATACGATTTTTTATGTTGACATATGCGACCTATACATTTATAACAATTATTAATAAATCTAAACTTTATTGAATGAAAATAATTGCAGTTTTTGTACTTTGAACGATTAAAATTGTAAGGTTGGAAAGACCTTAAGTAAGATCATATTGTAATGATATCATTATCAGAGAAACGTGCAATTAGAGAGAGACTTTCCTGAAAAAAGAGGGCTACTTGCAGGAGGAATGGATTTACATTAAAAAAAATTGCATATATCCTTTGGATGTCAGTGCTACGTTATGATTCTTTGGATAAATATTATGAATTTGTGATTTGTAGTATCCTGTTGCTAGAAAATACTCACCAATTTCTTCATGTTTGCCGCTGTTGGGTGGACAGAGGCACGCATTTTGTTAATATCCTGGTGAGCTTGAGATAAAAGATACCACAGAGTCTGACACATCTGTTTCATAATTGGATGTTTTACTTGATAAAGACGTTAATGGTAATCTAACAATCAAGCTTTATGATAAACGTGATGACTTTAACTTTTCTATCATCAACTTCCCTTATTTATGCAGCAATATACATTCATCATCTGCATACGGAGTGTATTTATCTCAGTTGATTCGATACGCAAGAGCATGCTCTACGCATGAACAATATCTAATACGAGGTAAATTATTGACAAGCAAGTTGATGAAGCAAGAATATCAGCAGTCTCGTTTAAAGTCATCATTTCGTAAGTTCTATGATCGATACAATGACCTTGTCAGAAATACAATTTATCATTTAGTCAAATGCTGACTGAGGTTTTTCATACTAATTGTCAGTCCATTATTTATACACTGAATTGACGACGGTTTTTTACCGTTGTTTCCTGACCATGACAAGGAGCACACGTCGGGTGTGACCGGTCAGCACGGGATGCTCACTCCTTCATGGCACCTGATCCCACCTCTGATGTTTTGGAGGTCCGTGTTTGCTCTGCTGAGACTATTTCGTATTGTTTTATGGACTTTGATATTGAATAATGTTCGTTATATCCATATCCTTCTTTCATTAAGTTCTCAAGTTGTCAGTTTGCTGTCTCCCACTTTAAACTGATAGTCGAAGATTTCCTGAGCAATTTTTATGCCCCCGTAATCGGTTGATTGATTGATTGATGATTGATTGTATATTGTATAACACCGAGTCGGCAATTTTTTAGCCTTGTTTTGGTAGACTTGTTAGTTTATATAATTGGTTTTTGAACTTTTTGGTTTCTCTGGCTGCCCCCAGTGAGCCTTCTCTTTTTCGAACCCCAGAGAAACGAGATCTTTTACGTGCCAAGGGGGTTAATAACGAAGATTCGGGGTTTTATAATTTTTTCCTTGTCCGTCCGTCTGTTTGTCCGAATATTAAGCTCATCTCGGTCAAAGTTTTACATGTAAGTGAGAAACTTCTTCTTTTACATCACTGATCCTACATACATAAAGACAAAGTTGATGGACAAGCTACAGTATATTACGAAGATTCAAATTTTATATTTTTATTAGTAAAATTAATATGCAAGCATTCTCAGATAGTGCATATTCGTTTATTTATATACCCCGGTGATGGGATGGGACCAAAGTAAAGATCTCGTACATGTAGTTACAAAACTTCTCTTGGGAAACTCCAAGTCCGTGAGACATCCAAGAATCACAATAAAGTATTTGTTAAAATCATTGCCCAGAAGCGTACAATGGTCTAAAATCGTTTGTTTTTTAGCCTTCCATTTTGAAAAAAAAGAAGTTCGCTTATAGATTGTAGACCTTAAAAAATGCCTTAAATGTTTCTGAACACTTTTTATTGCTTTAGATTGTCTTAAGTCAACTTTGTGACCGATCGCAAGCGACAAGTATCCTCGGGATGGAATGCCACAAAAGAAAAGTTTTTCATATGTTTTTATTCCCCGTAATCAAAGATATAGGGGTAGTTTTTGCCCTGTCATGTCCGTCTGTCTCTCCATTTG